TAACAATTTATTGTGCAGCCCTAGAACCACAGCTACGCTAAGTACCAAAATATCTTTGGTTCATTTCATAATTTAGGGGAATATTTTCTTCATTTACTATAAACATGTCCAAACAGCTGATACTTGGCAGCAGCACACATTATCTCATGAAGTTTTTGATTGTTCCAAGAATCTTAAAGTGCAGACGACGATGCCTCAAACCTGAATGGAGCTGATGTACCTTTTGTATCTGTGGTAATTTGAGTGAAACCATAACTTCTTTAATCTGGTGTATCATCCAGTGTCATGTGAACGTCTGCTGCTTTGAAACGAAAAAGGATGTCATCTCATAATGAAAAACAGAAGTGGTCCACATGACTATTGTGATGTATTTTGAAGCTTGAACACCAGATTTTCTCAGAGTGAGACATGAGATTAAGCCCACAAGAATTTGAACAGTTTTGTAAATGCTTCCCACATTGTTTGCAAGCTACACCATTGGCATTCTTCAGCAGCCTAATGTCTTCCAAATGACCGATAGATTAAAGGGCCTCTATTACGCAAAATTGTCTCTTGTGAGCTTTAACCTATTTTAGAGTGCTGTTACCTCATCAAAAACATTTGTGGAGTTGCGTTTTGTTTTATTCACACATGTTTCAGTAATTCTCTGTTATTAATCTGCCTACATTTCTGAATCTCAAAACACTCTGTTCCATCTGTTCCACCTTGTTATGTCATGTAGGGGTAGTTAACCGCTACCTTATACGTATAGTATAATTGAGTATATATTAGCAGTTCCCGGCCTCAAATCATCTGAATGATTTTGAGAACGTGTATGAAGTTTAAAAACACAGTGGGCACTCCTGTGTTACACCATTACGTCACAAGGTGGAACAGAGTATTTTCTTTTTCAGAGAAGAACTCAGCCTAAATATGAAGGGTTTGAGTGTTAAACATGAAACAAAACACAACTCCAGGTATGTTTGTGATGAGGAAACAACATTATAACAGAGATCAGAAAATAACTTTATATCGCTAATATGCTCTATCGTCTAGAGGTGTGCAAAAATATTGAAATATCGATATATCGTGTCGATATCGGGGACTGCTGTATCGATATATCGCCAAGAATATTTTTTTATATATTTTACTAAATTATTTTGTTACAGAGCTACAGTTTTGTTGCTTGTTTCACTGTTTTGAGGATTAAAATGTTGGTGTTTCATATTCACTTTGCACAAGTGGTTTAACAAAAACTTTTAGTATCACAGCCATCATTTAGCCTTTATTTTTTACTGAACCGTATTGAATCGATTTGAAATATATCATATTGTATCAAAAGGTCACTGTATCGAGATATGTATCGTATCGTGGCCTATGTATCAAGGTATGTATTGATACCCAGCCCTACTATTAAACATTAAAGTAACATAAACAGCCAAATCATACTATAACAGGGGTCAGCAACCCGCAGCTCCGGAGCCGCATGCGGCTCTTTAGCACTCCCCTAGTGGCTCCCTGGAGCTTTTTCAAAAATGAGTGAAAATGGAAAAGAAATTTTTTTTTTTTGGTTGTTGTTTTAATATGTTTTTTTTAGGGGTAAAACCCTCGTTCATCTCTGCTCATGGATCTGATCCATCAGTTGTGTGTAAATGCAAACATATGAAAAATGTTTCAGCAGAATAAGTAGATGAGCTGAAGCGGGGGTGGTGTCGGGAGCCTCCACCTGAGAAGCGCTTTCCCCCCCAAAAAAAACAAAAAACAAAAAAACACGTGTGCAGATGGACCACTCAGAACAACATATAATGAACCAAACTGGATTCACGCTTCTGTCCAGACGCTTTGCACCACCTCGGAACCAGCCGCGGTCGATCATGGAGGACCGGAGCAGCCCGGACCTGTGGTCCACAACGCATTCTCGCTTTTCCCGCATGGAACCAGCGCACAGATGACGGCACTGAAGCACTCGGACCCAGTCCTTTGCGTGCTGGTCTTGCTCGCCCCCATCTGGAACCAGGACATGGAGGATGAAGCCTCCAGACAATCAACACTGGTTCCACAGCCCCCTCTTGAGGAGCTGCGCGCTGACTGCTCTCATGTGTTTAGCGCTGCTGCCTGACTTCAGAGCTTCTGCTCCGGGTTTATTTTATGAGTGCTCCTATACACGATCAGAAGAAATGCGACTGCTGCTCTGAATACTTCCATCATCATCGTCAAAGCAACAGGTAAACGTCGGTCGCACTTTCTCGCGCGTCAGCTCCTAAAACTCCATTTATCTCAGTTTACACTCAAACGTGAAACCGGAGTTTTCCAAAATCTCCGCTCTAGCCAGAGATTTTAGAAAGATACGTTTTCAGAGGCGAATTAACGTGTAAACGATGTGTAGGTCTACAAACTCAGGGAAATGTAAAAATACCCGTGTACGTGTAAATGGGGCCTAAACGACAAAGGAATAAACACTAACCACCTGATTTCAGTGGCTACAGACAGCGCACCGAGTATGAGAGGGTCGCAAAAGTGGTTTGTGTAATCATGAATGCTCATTTTGTATTTGTAGCCTACTTAGTCATTTTAATAGTAGACTCATATAGCTAATATACTGACAGCCTATGTTGCCTTCATATTAGGCTTATATAAGGCTTTTAAGGCAGGTATGGTTTTTGTTTTTTTGGGCCAATATGGCTCTTTGAGCATTTTGGGTTGCCGACCCCTGTACTATAACAATATGACCTGAAGAATCAAGATCATTGATTGGCCATATAATTTTGACATTCCTAAATTTTGTCACTCAATTTACTTTTATACTTAGTTTTTCAAAAATTCTATATTTGAAAATTTCAGTAGAGGAGCCTCACATTTTTTTCAAGATGCATTTTATAGAAGAACATGTGTTGCTTTAAGCCAATGCCAAAAAACTGTTCATCATTCTCCACTGCATACTTTCTATTCTTTTTTTCATCTTTCTGTCTTTGTGGTACATGTTTGTGTAAAGATTACGTGACAAAGATTCTCAGATGTACTATGAAATTCTTTCATTTTCATTTTTGTGTGGATATTTGAAGTAAATGTTGAGGTTCAGACCTGTTAAGACTTGACCCTTCACACGCACACACACACACACACGCACGCACGCACACACACACACACTCATATACAGAGGAATGAAGACACAGATTCAGACATCTCAGATTGAAACTATGGAAATAATTATATAAATTTATGGCCTCATTATCTTCTGAGATAGTAATATTACAAACACTGAATAAATAAAAAAAGATGTAACTGTTAGGGAATCATTTTTTGTGATCAAAGTAGTGTCAGTTTGCAATTATCTTGGGGGGGAAAAAAGCATTTCTGTATTTTACTGAGATTTCTAATTGGATCAGTTGAACATGTTTTAGAATAGGGTGTTTGCATGAAAGGTTTCACATTAAGGCATTACATTAATTTATCTCCCTGGAGACAAGTAGGTGACGGCACCAAGTAGAGTTATCAAACATCGAAAATCAGATGCTGACACTGAAACTAGTAATAAAACTAGACACTCACTGGAGCGGTATCGAAAAAAGACACATTCACAGGACTGAAATGAACCTCTCCTGAATAAATCACCCACCATGGAACCTGCCTGGATGATTGAGGGATTACATAAAACCATATGATAATATGAAAGAAAGTACAAGAATTTTATATTGAAAATGACACCCTATTATACAAATAAAGAGTGATTTTAATTATCATTGGTATCAGTGGTATCAGAATCGGTATTGAGTATGGAGTATGGTCTATTTCTTAGTATCGACACTGAGTTTGAAATTTTAGTATTGTGACATCGCTACCATCAAGGCAAATGTATTTCAGCGATATAACAAATGTAAATAAATCAAAGGTTGATAAGTTTAACGCCATGCTCTGGAGCATTCCAGGCAAAGCAGGAACATTTCTATGGAGTCAAGAATGTGCCAGAAAATATAAACAGTGCACATGTTTTTACCATAATGATGTTATTTTTTATAGTTTTGTCCTTAAATACACAATGTAAACTCCAAAGTGACCTTTCCTGAACTGTTTATTTTACATTCAGTGTACAATAATATGCAGCTTACTTTGCTCACTAAGGCGGCAAAATTTTTACCTACATTCACCTGTTGAATCATGTCCTTATATGGAATTCACAACTTTCTTGTTAAAAATATCAAAATCGATTTTGGATACTCATTAAAAGTTTTGGTACCAATTTGAAACTGCAACTTAAAAAGACACATTCATAATTGAATTTTTTGGTGACAGTTTTATGGCTCTTGTTGTGAAATTTGCAGTAACTACAGTGAGTCAGTGGACAAACGCTGTAACTGACAACTTCCAATACAGATACTGAACTTTTCTGTTTTACTGGAGAGTTTCACGTGACTCACAGATACGGCAACATATTTTTAGGTCTAATTTTGAAACAAGACAAAATACAGACTTGAAACTTTCACAACTTCTTATTCAACACACAAACTAAAATGTGTAATGTTTTTGGCAGTAAAAGATCCTAAATATGTTTTCTCAGACCACCTAATTTTTTTGTACTTTAACTGTACAATAAAATCTGTGGTAATGGTTGGGACTGATAAATAGTAACTCATCATTGGTTGACTTGACAAAAAGATTAAACTCTATTTTGGATAATCCTTAAAAGTCTTTTTAATACCGCAACATAAAAAGCCACTTTTATAATTGAATGTGATTTCCAACTCAAAGTAATTGGATATTTTCATGAGGTCTGATATTACTTCTGATCCAGACCATTATAAAACTATTCAGGAAATGTTAGAATTTTTACATAATGGACATTTATGTTGTGAAATCATGCACCACGAAATGGCTGCATCTCGCCATTACGTAACTTTGCAGCCTGTTTGGGTAAGAGTGATTTGTTGTAAATGTTTATCTTTTGGTGCCAGCTCTCATAACTTTCATGTATACAGATTTGAGCTTTATGTCCTCTCATATTTATGCCCCGCTTGTTTTTACAGGCTTTTGGAAACGCGAAGACTGAAGAGAATAACAACTCCAGTCGCTTTGGAAAGTTCATCCAGTTAAACTATCTGGAGAGCGGAGTCATCAGAGGGTACGGCACATTCAAATAGCAAATATGATTTTTATGTGTGTGTCTCAACATTTTACAATCCTTATAGATGGAGGGCAGGTCAGAATTTTACTGGTTTATGGTTAATATCTTTAGCCTGTCCACTTGAAACAAAAACTGGCACAAAGTTCTTTTTCTTTTCACAGTATCTTCAGAAAGTGTTGCCATTTTTCAGCTCTAAAGATGTGCTCAGTGGTCAGTTGAAAAGACTGTTGGTGTAAAATTAGGAAGAACTGAATAGAATATGCTTATACGTAAACTGTGACAACCAAATGTGCAACTACAGCTCTTAACACTACTCTCACTTTTACTTACTATTAATACTTCACTTCACATTAGCCAAACCAACCCAAGCCTTATAGAGCAAATAATGCAAACACATGAATTTTGCGTAAGTTTGTCTCCATGGAGATGTTATTACTTTGTTTAAATTGTCCACAGTTTGGTATTTAACTAATCAGTCTTACATTTATTCAACTACAGGTGTTATTTATTGCTCAAAATATCTTAAACATATTCTTATTGTAAGTGGAGTCACTTCTCCACAAATCGAACCTCTAATTTGACTTGCAAGTCTCCGTGGAGATTCATACATGTACCGTACTGTGGAACAAGCAGGTGACTGACCCTGCACCAGACAAGTTATTAATGCACCTTTAAGGCAGAGCAATCTGGTAATTTTTTTTGTCATGACATAAAGAGAACATTTGCAATAATAATAAAATTGACAGTATACTCTAAGGCTGCCTAACAATTGTACTATTTAAGTTATTTAAAGGTATAGTATGTAACTTTCTGGAGGTGGTACATCATCTGCTTGATTCAGTGGAAATAAAAAGTCAAAACCATACTTCGGAAAAGTTTTCATTATAGCCAAAGGAACAGCATTTCCAAAAAACATGCTTGTATGCTTCTCTCTTTCATTATATCCATTAAAGTTTTTCACCTCTGCTGAATCTCCACAGTCAGTGTTAAATTAATAATTATATATATTATACATTTGTAATTGTAAATATCTGCTCTCTGTCTATCACAGGGCAGTTATTGAAAAGTACCTTCTTGAAAAGTGCCGGGTGGTGTCTCGAGAGAAGAATGAAAGGTGACGATTTCAGCATTTTATTTTGATTTATACGATTTACAAAGGTAGTGTATATCTGAACCGTTCTGTGCCCTTTGACTCAGGAACTACCATGTGTTCTACTATCTTTTAATGGGAGCCTCCAAAGACGAGCAGAAGGAGTTCCATCTCTTAAATCCACAGGATTATCACTACCTCAAACAGGTGAATCCAAAATACATGTACCTGACTACAGTGTGTTACATAAGCTGCCACAACAGAGCACTTTGCGTTTAAAGAAGTAGCCCAACTTCATTGTTTAGTGACACTTTGGTCCATGAATCTTAAATTATGAAATATTTGCCTCTAATCTGATTTTTACATAACCCAGTAGGAAATTTATCTAAGGATGAATTGTATGAAAATATTTTAAGTATTATTTGTTTTGATTGACCTAGCTTTGTATTTAATAAAATCTGTAAAAAATGTAAGTATATACCCCTACCACCTGAGAGAAATATTTCTCTCAAAAAACAAAAAGTATTCAGTGTTCTATTAAACATATGAAATTAGACAAATGCAGACCTTACTGAACCACAGAAGTGACTCTAACTCGTTTGCCTGAACAAAATTCAGTGATTTCTGTAGGTTTATAAAGCAATTCTAATCTACTGAATGATGTTAGAATTGAAATATGCTCCATTTGAATCTTTTTTTAGACATCAGACATTTTCCAAAGGCCAAATAAATTTTTGTGCAAGTAATGTTAAACCCTTCTTAATTAAATCCACTCAGATTTGATTTAGAGTAGAATATAGTAACATAAATAAGTTTTGATAATTTTTTCAAAACGAAAATATCAGTTTTTGTAAATGAACTGTTGTTGTGTATCTTATGCGGTTGTTTTGATTTTTATCAGTGAAACTTACGGCTCTGCTCCTCTTATTTCAAAACACTGTCTACATTTGTGACCCATGTCGTGCTCTGGTTTGGATCAAGAGCGGTGTCTGTCTTCTGTCAACCCAGTTCATATGTCCAAACAATTTAAAGGCCTAAAATTGGCAACATTTCACTTAATCTATGTTTTATGGCATATTAAGATTACAGTGTCTATGTTGTGAATTAACAATACACAAGTTTAACATAGCAGTTTGTGTAATTATTTTAGGGAGACCTGCAGTTGGACGATGAGGAGAGTCTTGGGCAGGAGTACAGGAGGCTGCATCAGGCCATGGAGATGGTCGGCTTTCTCCCGTCCACCAAAAAACAGTAATCTAAACTCTTTTGGTTCTATTCTAAAAGGTTTTTACATTTTCTGGGAATAGTTGGTATTGAGTATAAATTGCAATGCGACAAGTTGCATTTATCAAATCACAAAGCTGAGAATTATTTTGATGTTCAAGTTTACTTTCCAATTGCACACTTGGAGAAAATGTAACATAAAATAATGGTCATCATCATCAGCTTTGTATAAAACCTGGCAAGCCTGTAGTTTTAGACTTCTGCAAGCATGTTCTGAAACATGGGATTCATCTCTCAAATGTCAATAGTTCACAACTAGTTTAAAATGTGTACTGAGAACTATATTTTAAGACATAAATGATATATTCAAGCACCATTGAATAACAGGTTAACTGCAATTAAATATTTGTCCTAAATTGTTGAGACCTATTAGTTAGTATTTCCATCTGTAACATAGGAATATGATTGCATTCAGTGGATTCAAATGACATATATTTGCTCTCAATGACATTACCTTAATGCCTTAATCGTTTTTTTGTTGCTTAGAGTCTGTTAAATGAATGATTTTTGCAGCTTTACGGTTGTACTGAGAGAAGTGTCTCATTTTGAGTGCTTTTGAAGAGTGAACCAGTGTCAGAAACAGGTCAAAACTTGTTAAGAAGAAAAATGCAGAAAGACAAACCCAGCTGCTCTGGATGCAGCTCAGAGCCAGCACTTTTCTAGATGCACTGATAGTATTAATTCTACTACAATAAAAATATAATGCAATCAGTTTTCAAAATAGTAAAATATTTAAATTAAATAATAACTCAAAAATCATTGGTTTATTAAATTGGCACATTTCTAAGCTTGAACCTGTAGTTTTAGGTGAATGTTTTCATTTGTGAAGCTGGTTTGACAAGTCAGGTCTGCACCTCCTGTGAACCCTGTAGAAATACAAAACAGTTTTCATATGAATACTTAAGTCTGCTGTTTAGTTTCAGTAAATTCAGTGTCATTTTGAGAAAGATTTAATTTAAATTTTTGCCCCATGCTGTATATGTAATGACATCAGTAATCCGTAGTAATCTCTGTAATTAGTGATAATGGAAATAATAATGTGTAACTAATGTGTAACACGTTTTGGGAATTTATTGCATATTTTCTGAATTACAAATAGAAAGATTTACTTAAAATACCCTAATTATGTGTTCATTTTAACACACATCCAGAAACACCAACAATTCTGAAGACTGAAATATAAATTTAACTAAACTGCTAAACTAAAAATGTATTTGTAGCATTTTTTGATTAGCTAACTGTGACCATTCAAATTGGGATTTCTTTTCAATTTATCTTAATCATTCAGGCATGAACCGCAGATGTAAAGCTTGAATGGGGTAAATTGCTTATGACTTAACAATCCGCTATGTGTTTATAAATGTCATTACTCATTAATGTAAATATTGTTGTGTGATGATGTTAGGTGCAGGTGATTGAATGCCTTTAATCCCATTTCATCCATGTTGTTTTCAGAATATTTTCCATTCTTTCGGTGATCCTGCACCTGGGAAACCTGACGTACTCCAGAGATTCTAAAGGTTTGAAGGTCGGACCAAATGACACCCTGGAAACACTGTGTGATCTGCTCAAGGTATGTGCAATTTATTTCGTTTTTTTTTAGTTTGTTGGAAGTTTTAATTTATTCTGTAATATGGATTTTTATTTGTTAGCAGCATTTTGTGTTTGTTTTTTATTTATTCTTTAAATTTCTTTTTTCCAAATAAAATTTATACAGTAAATAAACCATGTACGGTACATTATGGTAGCTCTAGTGAAAAAATAAAAATACATTTGTTAGTGGTAACCTGTTTGAACAAATGAAGTATTCCAAGGTCTTCCAGATAAAGACATTTCCTGTTCTGTTTGTTTAAGGTATAGTACTCATAGAATAGCTGTTGTCATGTGACTGCTCTGCTTTGTCTTTCATTATCATCTGTAAACCTGTTGAATCTTGCTTCAGGTGTAAACACAGTAGTTAGTGTTACATAATATGTTTTTTTTTTTGTTGCTTTTTTAGGTGAAAAAGGAGGTTCTCATAAAGGCTCTGACCAGGAGGAGAACAGTCACCACCAATAAAACTGTCGTTTCACAATACACAGTGCAGGAGGTATACACTTTTTGTTTTAATTTTGAAGTCTGGTTAGTAGTTTCTACAAAAATGCACTTATTTATTGTTGTTTTTGTTCTTTATTTACAGGGTGATAAAATGCGGGACTCAATGGCGAGGTCTTTGTACAGCGCTCTGTTCGACTGGATCATTTTCCACATTAACCACGCTCTGTTCAACAGACGTGACATGGAGGAGTCTGTGTCTGTGAGTTACATAATCATTTACATCCAGTATTTACATGATCAACAGTAAGCACCAACGGCTAATGCAAATACTGGATATTTGCACTGACACAATACAGAGGCAGTCTAGCACCTTCCTACGTTTGTTTGTTTGTGTACTGCAGAAATAATCATTAATTATGCGTCATTGCTGATTTAAGTAGTTATTATATTAATTTGAGTATGTTTTATATTCTAGTCTAGAAATAAGATTTATCACTTTAACAAGTCATATTCCTCTTATGTAGAAAAAAAATTGTTTTGTTTTACTTGAAAGTAGGAGTGGGCAAAAACAAATATTGTTTTGGCTTTTTCAATGCCAATATACAGAGTAAATTATGGTAGTTCATCAAAACTGTGCCCAAACATGCTCAAATGTCATGTATTCAAATGTATAAAGTATAGACAATGTACTATACTATATAGTATATACTATATATTATATGCTATATATTATATACTATATACTATATATTATATACTATACACTATAAAAATCCTTTACAGGAGTTATCAACAGAAGAAGCTAACGGTGTTAGCTTCTAAGCTAGCGCTAAGTAACGCATACTTTTAAAACGACAAAACAATATAAAAATGCAACTTGGCTTAGTAGTGCATAGATTTCCATGTGTCCTTTATATTGTAAAAGATGTCAACCTTTACTTAACTGACCTGTAAAGACAGGAAAGGCTTCTCTGGACTGATTGTAAACACCAGTTTACACTGAACCGAATAACCAGTAATGACCAAAAGTGTTGTTTTGTAAACTTATTTCCCTGATGATTACTTTAAAAAGTTGGCAGGGATATTGGCTAAGCTAACTTAAGATCATGGTGTCTCCGCTGTGACGGCGCTAGTTCTAAACCCACGAGCTGGTCAAGGTCACAGGCAGGCGGTAATTTCACATGTGCACTGGGGGGCGCTAGGATTCGAACCCACAGCCAACTGGCCGGCGAGATTTGCAGAGACACCAGTTAAATCCACTGCGCGAGCTGCAGGATAGGACACATTACATATCACAATTCAATTGTCAAATTCAAAGAATATAATTTATACATTAAATCTACCTTCTGAATGCTTAGATTATTAAAAAAAAAATCTTAGAGTAATTCAATGTAAAAATAGCACCATCTAGAGGTAACAAGTATAGTTGCTACTATTTACATTTACTATATACTATATACATCTCCAAAACAACTATCCTGATACTCTAGATTTTTTGATACATCTCTCACCTGAACTTGAAATTAGCAAAGTTGAAATAAGGGAAAAATTTTATTTTATTGGCATCTGTAATAGGAGTTGAGAAATGCTAGGCCTACATATTAATCTTTTTTTTTTTTTTTTTTTAGTGCCTATCAATTGGGGTCCTGGACATGTTTGGATTTGAGGACTTGCAAAAAAACAGCTTTGAGCAGCTGTGCATCAATTACACCAATGAGAAACTACAGTATTACATCAACCATCGCATCTTTACACTGGAGCAGGTGTGTGAATCTAGGTTTTGTCGTTGTGGTCAGATTGTGACATATATTTTGATTTCCAGTCCAAAAAGGATGTTACGTAGACGCAGTAGCTCAAAGAAAATTATCAATATTTATTATTTATAATTTTGTTATACATTTTTAATTGATGATGAAAGATGAAACATTCAAACTTTGGATTTGATTACAGTTATATATATTTGTACATTAAAATATTCAACAATGAAAATCTAATGGTCTCACAGTACCAGTAATCTTTGTAAATTTGTGTTGACTTTTTTGTTTTGTTTTCAGGAGGACTATGTATCAGAGGGCCTTGTGTGGCAGCACATTGACTTCACAGACAACATCGACTGTGTCAAGTTAATGAGTGGGAAACCAACAGGGCTGTTTGGACTACTGGATGCAGAAACCAGGTTAGTGCCTGACTTATTTAAAACTTACTGAAACCTTTGGAAATATTATTACATTATATTTTATGGGCTCATTTTTCAGTGTAAATCGATGGGCCTTGATTTTCATAATTCCATTGTTTATTTCTGACCTCAGTATATCTTTCATATTTAAACTGACCATTTACAACCTACTTATTTTTTTGCAGCCTCCCAGACCCCAGTGATGAAGGTCTATTGAAAAAGATGAAGCTGCATCATCAGGACAGTCCTTTCTTTGAGACAAACTCAGACTCAACATTCACTATTCACCACTTTGCCGGTGGTGTCACTTACAAAATAAAGGTACACTGGGTTTGCCTTATAAAAAATGTTTTCTATGGCAGTGTAGGTCAAACGTCCACATTTTGTCCTTTTTTGAATAATTTCTTATTTAGAATTACTGTGGAAATTGTGTAGTCCTGTTGTAGACCTTGTGGTGCCTGGTATACTTAGTGTGAAAAGCTTAAGATTACTAAGCCTGGGTAAATGCCCTGCCTTGTGTTGAAAGGTCATGTGGCTCAAAACACATTTTATTTATTATAAAATAAAGCCTGTTTTTACAATTTTGTTTAGTTTTACAGTAACTTGTGTGATAAGCCTTCCTGGGAAAGTCTCTATGAACTGAGTAAATAATTAATCCTATTTGTGCGCTCGTGTTGTAATGAATGAAAACTCTAGTGCAACCCTGACAATGGTGCTCAAAATATTCACAGAAGCTCTTTGTTTTCTAAAACAAAATTGCACCTGCATGTAAACTAAATACAATCAAATGCCAGGTTTAGTATTCTTGTTGACATAATCTCAATTACCTGAACAAAAACTGGGCCGAAACCTTGACTTAAACAAGGCTTGTTAAGGACTGGACTGGACTAGGACTGCACTGGACAAGGACTGGACCACGACTGGATCACAACTGGACCACGACTAGACCACGACTGGACAAGGACTAGACTGCAACTGGACAAGGACTGGACTATGACTAAGCTACGACTGGACTACGACTGGACTACGACTGGGCAAGGACTGGGCAAGGACTGGACAAGGACTTGGCAAGGACTGGGCAAGGACTGGGCAAGGACTGGGCAAGGACTGGGCAAGGACTGGGCAAGGACTTGACAAGGACTGGGCGAGGACTGGACAAGGACTGGATTACGACTTCAACTGAACTAGATTAGGATTAGACCAGGATTGGGCAGGACTAGACTATGGCTAGACCAGGATTAAACCAGGACCATATAATCGTACAGTGAGTAAGTATTGCTGGAAAGGGCCAATAATCCCTAAGTAACGTCACCATGCAAAGACCAAAGAGAACATTAGTCCAACTGTAATGTCACCTCCAATCCTCATTATTATTTTCAGGATTTTGTGGAGAAAAATAGTGAGCACATGCGCCCAGAAGTGGTGTCTCTCCTCCGCAGCAGTGGGAAGTCTTTCCTCCACCACCTGGTCTGCTCCAGTCATCGAGCATTGTTCAGGTGGGGAGTCCTACGAGCCACCATCCGAATCGTCTCTGTGTTCAAACACCTGGCCCTCAAAAGAACAGAACGAGGTAAGTGACTAAAGCTGCACTCGCATCACATCAAAATTTAACTGCACTGAACTCGGAATAGGATAGGACCAAACCAAGTCTAAAACAATTCATAACCAGGATCAAACCATGACAACTGAGTGCAGCCCAAGTTTATTTTCTGCTTAAATTGAGTACATTAGAGGCTCTTTTACTATGGTCATTGTCTCTGTTAGGACAGGTTGAAATTATGACAAAAAAATTCATCTGCTGTTACTGACAATAGTAGTTTTTATGCTTATTACTGGTAAAGTAAAATAAAAATAAAGGCAATCAAGTGCTTTTTAAAATGCAGCTGACATTTTTCCACAACCACTTCTCATCCTCTGTAATGCTTTGAGTGAGTGACAGGTTCCTACAGAATTGATTTTTCCAACATATTCCTGCAAATGGGTTTTGTTTTTTATTGTTTGTCTAAATTCTTCTCTCACAGTGGCTGCCAAACGCCCATCTCGTACCACATTAAAAGAAACGAAAAGGCATTCTGCACGCCTGTCCAGGTAAAAGTTCTTTTAAAGCAGCCATTTTATCTATATAATATTTTTTAGATTGTTTCATTTGCACATGAGGATATGAGGATGTGTATGTTTTACAGTAACAGCTGGACTTTGGATTTCTCTTTCGATCGATCAGATGAACACCCTCTAGAGGTTTTTGAGGACATCTTTGCAAACTTTGAAAAACGAAAGTAAGTTTTCATTTGATCTTCCCACAGTATAGTTAAAATAAGTTTTGAGCATGAACTGATTAATCTATTTGTTTTACAGAAAAAGTAAAAGTGGGCGACAAAAACAGCTCATTCCCAAGGTATGTTTCTGTATTTAAATTAGCTTTCCTTTTTTTTTTTTTTGCATTTAATAATTTGTATTTGATATTTTAAACAGAATTTGATGGATCTACGATCACTCCAACACATTGTCGGTGTCACTGTTCACGATAAAACGGGTAAAGCCACACCACACCCTGACGGGCTCATCGCTCCCCCTACTGTCTGCGCTCAGTTCCAGGTACATATCACATATTACATTAACAGATAGTAAATATGCTACTGAGACTTTGATTGCACTTTGTTATAATAGGGATTGGTCTATCAGATTTAAAAAAAAATATTTTTCAGTCGATACTGCTGCTGTTGCTAATAATAACATTTACAATACCAATATAAAAACTTAAAAATCCAAAGTTATAGTTAGTAGTTCACAAATTAACTTTTCACTTAAAAAAATAACAGTGTATTTATATATGATGTAAAGTACTTTGTGGCATGATTGTGGAAACATAATTTCATGATTTTAGGGTAATTGCTCTTTTATTTCCGTTAATACAAATACATACATTTTCAATATCTGCTCAATACCGATATCTGTAAAAAAAAAATAAAATAAAATAAACCCTCCGATATCACCCATACTGATACAGGAACCAATATTTCGCCCATTCCTAATACATACATATACGTTTGTTTCTACAGGCATCTCTTCAACAACTCTTAAAAAGAATCGAAAAAGCGCAACCGTTCTTTATAGTCTGTTTACGCTCCAACAATGAAAAGGTAAGGCTTTATTGGGGCTTTTATTACTGGTATTTTATATTTTTATAGTCTTTATTGTATAGTCTAAAAAGTATATCCTTTATGCAGAAAGAGATGCATTTTGACCCTGAACTCGTCAAACGCCAGGTTCATAGCACTGGTTTACTGCAGATGGTCCTGATGCAAAAGGCTGGATACGGCGCCAAATACACTTTTAAGGTGAGCTGACTACTGTGACTATTCCCATTGATGAAACTATTACATGATCATTTTGTTGCAGTGATAAATTACAAACTATTCCAGTACTGAGGAAAAGGTCTGACGCTTGATACTATTTTTAGTTCTTCAGTAATAATAAAATAATCAATTGAAACAGAGAAAAATGACTTCAAAGTTTGTTTTATCCAGACAAAATTATAATAGGTAGGGCTCCCAAAATTTGACAACTAGTTGCTATAATGAAGAAATATTTGTTTGCGAAAAATATTGAGCTCAAAACTGACCTTTGGCCCTTATTTGGCAGTTCCTGTACTCTGCCTTTCTGTCAGGTGCCAAAAATAAGGAGTCATGCATTGCAGCAGGCAGAAACTGACTATCATTATTTGTTTGATTTCCCCAGACTTCAATCCATTACAAAAGCACCTCACCAAGGTCGAGTCATCATAGTGTTTGTTTTAAATGAAATATAAGACCTTTGGATTTCCTGTTTAGTGCTGATCAGGATTGTGCTGCAACACTTACACAGTTAAACAGTTTGACAGCCAAGTTACTTTACAGTATATTATGTACATTATGAATAAATACACAAAATATTTTCACATTAAAGATAATTTAAGTATAATTGAATACAATGCTATATTTATTTAATATGCTAAGACCCTGTGCCAAGGCCGCAAAAAAAAAGCGGCAAGGGTGGATTTTAAAATAAAATATATTTATGAACTAAATCACAATTAAAACAAACACTGTTACTGCCTTTTGCCTTTCCACGACTCCTTATTTTTGGCACATGATACAAAAGCAGAAAACAGGAACTGACAAATAAGAGTCAAAGGTCCATTTTCTCAATTCTCAGCTCATTTTTCACAATATTTATTCACATGATAAAGGATCTCTCAGATACCCCCAAAATGACATTGACTCATTTTTGACCAAACATGATGTTACAGCGTTCTGCCTTTATAGGGCAGAATAGAATGTAATTTTCAACGCAAATTGTGTTAAGCGAGTTGAGCTAGGTCTTGCTAATAATATTCAGGAAGTCTTGTGTTTTGTCAGAAGTTATATTTTTGCAGCATTGATTGATATTGGTTTAAATTAGTTTCTAGTTTCCATAGTAGTTATAGTAGTGATTAGTGATAATAAAAATGCATTAAACTTCTAAAGCTCTTTACCAGATGCTCAAAGTTGTTTTACGATTTTGCGCAATTACATACATTCATATTAAGCAAGGTGGCTGAAGTGTCTTGCCTAAGGACATAATCACAACCCCACTATATGGCCGTATGACAGTGAGCTCCGCTATGAGATAATGGATATATTGTTTACTTTTATGTGACAGGATTTTGTGGAGAAATTCAGGATGTTGCTTCCAAAAGGGGCCACTCCAACTCCAGAGCACATCTCTCAACTTCTGGTGAAACTGAAGCTTGACAAGTCCACGTATCAAATAGGAAAGACAAAGGTAAATGAATTATTAAAGAGATGCTGTTTGTTGTTTTAGGGGTGGATAAAAGTCGATGAGAAGCAAAAATGTTCTCTTGTATCTAGCTGGACGATTTAAAGGTCATAAAATTGAGCTTTAAGACAGGTTATAATGCTGTTATCTTGTCAAAAACATACCAAAAGTTGCGTTTTGTTTAATTCACACATGTTTGAGTACCCCTTTATTATTAGTCTATCTACATTTTAAATATATTACCATTTTGTAATTTTTTTCACCTATTTTTCTCTCTGCTCAGGTGTTTTTAAAGGAGAACGAGCGTCAGTTTCTCCGGGACACACAGAACACTGTGGTCATGCGTCACATTGTGGTAATCCAGAGGTGGTTCAGGTGCTGTTTAATCCGGATGCACTTCCTCCAAAAGAGAGATGCTACTCTGCTCATTCAGGTACACCTGGCTCTAGAAGTACCATCACTTTACCTGAAACACCTCTACCAATTATGGTACTTGCCGCAAATAATGGTTAAAGTGGGATGAGCTGGAAATGGGACGGAAATGATTAAGTTAAAGGTGCACAGTATAACTTTTCTAGTGTCTATGGAGATGATATTGCTTTGTGTTGAGTGCTCCACAACTGGGAATTGGGCATGTGGCATACCCTCCACCAGAGTTACATAGTTAAATTACATACAGTAGTGCAGCTTTAAACATATAGATAAAGACTGCTATAACACTATACACGTTTTTTAATCCCATAACACACTGTATCAGTAATGCTCACTTTAGTAACACAGAGAAATGGGGAACAAAAACATTGATTATGACAGCAGTAATAGATTATAAATGCTTTATTTCCTCCCTATATGATCTCATAAAGGTCTGTGATGTTGCAGAGATGTTGGCGTGAGTTTTATGAAAAGCAGAACCGAGCAGCCACAGTGATCCAGTCAGCCTGGAGAACGTCAGCGAGGAATTCACAGAGGGGGCGGTCCAGGTACCTTTGATTTATGAGCTAAATTGGCTTATTTTAAATTGGTTTATTCAGATGGATTTTACACAGTTAAACTAAACAAAGTTTTGTGTAGGTTTGTAACTTGACAAATATAATGGATAGAGTAGGAGAAGACTAGTGTCGTTTTGTTTGGCATTAATGGTTGGTGATATTGACCAAAATTTGTAATTTGATATTTTTGTGGATACTAAAACATTTATGTAAATTTTTTGGTTGAGGGTAGATATTAAAGTGCAGAAATACCTTACCTTAAATTTTACACACCTTCAAAACAGCGATTTTGCTTTGATCTTGTTAGAAAAAAAAAAATTGAAGCAATAATTGTAATCAAAATCTATTATCATATTATTTCAACCTGGAGAGACAACAGCTTTAGTAAGCTTTATTGAAAGAGTTACCTTTTTCATTTTCTTTTGTTTTTATCTTTACAGTGCAAATATTATACAACAAAAAAGATTCGAATAATTATAACAATTATGATCCACATAATGAGTATAAAGATATTTTACTTTAATCAAGCAACCCTAATATTGTAGTAATATGAGTTGTGCGTTTCAGTCTGTCCAAAAAGGAGCTGAGGAGGCAGGCTCCGATCGAGGTTAGCCCAAACCGAATGCCCCAGTCTGGGTCAGGACAGAGCACCCCTCCTTTGCACCGCCCACTATCCGTGCCCGCTGACTCCACTTCTTACAAGGACAGCCCCTCCAAGAGCCCCCTGCAGAGGAGACATGCAGACTCAGAGGCCATGAAGGAGAAGGCGGACCGCTGGAGAGAGAGGTTGAGTGAGGGCGAGCCCACCGACGACTCCAGTCCAGAGCAGCACAGACGGGCACGCAGACGAGATGATTATCAGTGAGTCCTTTTCAAGGTGGCAGTTTGTGAAGAAAAGTTTAGATGCTTCCAAAGCTCAGGAAGTAGTGCTGAACGGAATATATCTATGTCATCAACACAAAAAATTCCATCCAAAATGCAACCGGTTTAAACAACATAAAAATGTTGTAATTTGTTTTTAATAGTCAAATCTGAACTTGTGCAGTTTAGTTTTGACTCTTGTTAAGACTTATGGAATTACCTCTATGTATGCTGCTTCTTTTTAATCAGAAAGTAAAATTATAAACTTCACAAACATTATAAAACTAGACAAAAATCTACATTTTACATGAAACAAGTAGTCTGACCTGTCATATACCCTCTAAGGTTGAAGGAAAGTAACTTGTGTCTCAGGAAATGCAGCTTTTGCATTTGCCTGCCTTTATTAGGGCCAAGTCTTAGTTTAGTATAGTTTATTGTAGATTTTTATTTGTCTTTAACCATGTAAGAATCCATTCATCTTACAAAATAAAGATGATCTACATATACCTGATTTAGCTACTGCTACTTTCCATCTGCTATCCATGGGCAGGTGGATGCGCACACTACACTGTCTTTATATTTGTCATCTGTGCATTTTGTATCACATTTTAAAATGTTGGATCACAGAACAAATTAAAATCTTTCAAAGTGTCATCAGCAAACAGAAATACTGTACTTAGTCCAAGTGTCATCTCCAAAGTATTAAGTATAGTACTTCTTTTGCAGAAGCAATAGTTTGCAATATAATGCCAGGTGGTGTTTTGATCATATGTACCGTTGCTGGGTTAAAATGCCAAAAACAAATGTTTTATTATGTTATAAAGAAGATATTTATTTCAGATTCTTTTTTTCTTTTAGCAACAAAGGAAAATCCATGTCTGCCGATGAACTCTCCACACGCAGCTCTTCTGACAGCTCACCCTCTGCAGGCGAGGTAACAACATTAAGTGTGTGAACATGTATTTTATGCATGTGTGTGTGTAACTGTGTGTGTCTGTGTGTCATTGGTGTTTCACTGTGAGTACATGGCCGTGGTAAGTAAACAGTGTGGACTGAGGCTGTGTGTTCTGGGTTTCACCTGAATAATTAGGACTCGGTGCAACTGCGAACGAAACCCAAACGTAAACGACGATTAGCCCACGCCCGCAGCGGTTTGGTCATTAACTTTGGCGGCTCCAGAGAAAGTGAGTTTTGGACCTTTCCTCTGCCTCCCATGAGCCCCCATGTGTCCAACCTGAAGAGCTCAGTCAGTACCATGGATGTGCGGGCTGTATCCAGGCTGGAGGTACTTTACTGGGACACCTCTCCTCTGCATGCCACTGTCGCATGTACTCGTCCCATCGCAAATGAGCGACTGCTTGCCAAGTCAAATGGAAATGTTTAACTGGATTTCCAAAGCTCATTTTCTTGTTAAGGTGTCATGTTAAGGGAAGTCAAAGAAATGAAAAAAGGTTGCATACACATTAAACATTTAGCATACAACATAGGACTGCATGATTTAAAAAAAAAAAAAAAAACTTTCTGGAGTTTTATTTGCAAAAGCTATTTGGAATTTATGTTCAGTTCAGTGTACACTGTAAAAAAAATTCCAGGAGTGCTATTGGATTATATTAGTACTAGTATGAGAGAAGACTGAAATAAAACTGTTTAACTGGTAGAAGAACAGGGATATCAGAACATGTTCGTAGAATGGCCTGGTGGCATAACTTGCTTTCTATACAAAGCAAAAAAAACTATTTGGAGTCAAGAAGGTGGCGGACTTTACCAGAAAAGTTACTTAATTCACCTTGAATAATACTATACAAACGCACTATCAGCCATGCTGCATGATGAAGAATGGTGTCTTCTGGTTTGGTGCAGGGAAGCAACGGACATCCTTTGGTGTTTTGGCAGGGTTTGGGAAACTAACTAAGATTTATTTTGTGTTTTATCTTCTTTGACATAGTATTATTCCAAGTGGTTTATTTAAAATATTGTGTCATGTAATCTAGAAAATCCGAGCTGAACCTGATGGATCAAGGTACAGTCTTCCACCAAGAAACTCTGAGGATGAAGGAAACCAAACTCTTACTACCCCTGAGAGGTACGAGAGAATTATGTTTTAGAGACGAAATGTATGGAAAGTCTGAGACCCACTTTTGTTTCATTTATGTTTTTAATTTTCCAGGGTTTGGTTTCTTAGTAGATTCCTGAAGAAGCGAACACCAAAGTACATCCCCAGCCATGAATCTACCCAAGAAAAATCTGGTAATGTATCTATTCACCTTAGTAGTTATAGTCCAATAAATGTAGTGGTTTTGCAGGAGCTTACTGCATTAGTGGCAGGAGAGTGAGCAGAAAAGAACACATGCATTTTTCTAATATGTACTGCCACCTTGAGGTAACTCTAATAATCATGCAGTGGTCACAATATCTCTCAGTTGACTGGCTAATACTACTATCTGCTGTGTTCAAATAATTCCCCTTGCGTGAAGTCCAAGTCTAATTACATTTCCCAAACACCCAAAAAGTGGGTCATTGGGGGTAAAATTTTAAGACATAACATTTTTAACATTTCTTTGAGACTTTTTATTGTAAGGTGAACATGTCATACTCAGTATAAATGTGAATAGCAGTAAAACTGTACATACAATCAAAATGAATATAACAAATGCTCTGTCCTCAGTTACGTTGCCGCGGTTCTCACCTCACCCGTACCAGATGCCCAACCAGCAGAGCGGCAGAGTCCAACGAAACCCCACCATCCACATCAGCCGTGCCACCAGGGCCTTAGAGTGGAACGCCTCCCTGGACCGAAACATCACAGACCCCAAAGAACTCAGGAACCTCGACGAATACCTCGGGAATCAGGTGGGTTCAAAATACAATGTACAATGGCGACAGTAGCTCAGCTGGTAGAGCGTTTGTCCACTGATCAGAAGGTTGGCGGTTTGTATCCCGCTCTCAACATAAACATCATTGATTGAGCGGTCAGATCCACTGACCCACAGGTTGGCTGCTGTGTCTGCGTACACTGGTGTATGAATGTTTGTGTTAATGGGTGAGTGGTTCCTTGTTGTAAAGTGCTTTGAGTGCCTTGAAGGTAGAAAAGCACTACACTGTATATTGTAATAATGTAATAGACAAACTGTTACTATATCGCATTATATGCTATATAAAACAAATACATTATGGCTTTTTATACTAAATATGTTTTGTAAATGCTGTTATCAGGTGAATGAATTGAAATCGAGAGTCAAAGAGCTATCACCGACAGAGACCATCTTCCTCACATCAACGATGGAGTTCAGAGAGACCATCAAAAGCCTGTTCTCTGTCCAGGTTAGCATTTTCTTTACTCACAATTGCATTCATATGAATTCGGGGCAGCAGGGAGGCAGTAGTTTTAGCATTCGCCTGACAACCACAGGGTCACTGGTTCCAATGTAACCTGATTGCGTAACTGCTGATGTGAGCAAGCAAGTGACCCAGCAAGGTCATTTGGAGTAGAACCTTGTTAAATCACCATGCAACTAGTTTTAATGCGACAGGTTTGACTCACAATTATGGCTTTGATGTTGACATTGGACCTGCTGGGGTTCAATTTTGTATTATAACTATGACTTAATGGTGCAGTTTTGTTAAAATAATATCCTTTACTCAACAGAAGCCTCAAATAGCATACAAAGACCTGATGAAGGGCTACCAGAACAAAGTGAACACGTTGGCTGGGCCCAAACAGAAAACTGAGGTGTCACTGGTGGTGAATCTGTTCCAGTCTGTGCTCGACATCTTTGTGAGGGAGATAAAACGCAACGAGTCAGAGCCAGTCAAGGTAATATGACTCCCTTTTCACACCAAGTACCTGAGATAATATTTTGGCTTTCCAAATACTGATCTGAATCAGCTCATGTCATTAATAAATCAGTGCTTAACCATGTCTGAAATTAGACCAAATCAAAATAGTTCTAAACTGTGATTAACCCAAAAGAGTACAAAAACATGTTTACATTGTCTATAAATGTACATGTACCACAGTTTGAGAAGCACAATGGACACATTAAATATCATTATTGAATGCAGTTATTAAGTTAACTATTTGTTTGACTTTTCACAGCCAAATAAACAAACCAAAAAGAGACGGAAAAAGGAGAAGTGTGTAAGTGTAACTTTGGTGGCAACTTGATTATTCTGGTTTTATCATCTTAAATTTTGTGACTTCTACCATTTCTACTACATTGCTTCACCTGCACACAACAATTTGTACTAGTAATAAATACTGTCTTGTCTTTTTTTTTTTTTGCAGCCTGACAGCCCCTTGGACCACCTTTTCAGCACATACCAAGTTAACATAATGCAGTCATGTGACTTGTGTGGTTCCTATATTTGGGGAATGGAGAAGGCGTACATGTGCAGTGGTATGTCATTGTAAAGATAATAAGAGAGCGATATACATGTCATGTCCTATTATATCCCAGTCTCTGGAGACTCATTATAGAGTAGGGTAGTTCCAGTTTGGTACTCCTCCAATCCTAGTTTCAGTCTTGTGTATGTTGGGGATTGATTTCTTGATTTCAATACATACATTTGTCATTTATCATACCACTAAAAACTGATTTACATGTGAACTTTTATTATCACATTTTTTGTATGTATGTTATACTATGTGCTTGTCCTTTCAGCCTGCAAGTTAATATGCCACAAGAAATGTCTCGGCAAAATCATTACTGATTGCTCAACACGCTGCTCCAGGATGGTGCGCGGCATATTGTTATAAATAATATTTTAAAAGATTTCACTAATAAAACTGCAAACAAGTAATTTACGTATTTTTTTGTTTTGGGTTTTTTTCAGGATGATAACGTCCCTGGCTCGCTGCATTTCGGGGTGCAGGTTTGCGTCCTCACCAGTAAAGCAAACCCAGTGCCCAAAGTGGTGGAGCTTCTGCTGATGCACGTGGAGCTCAATGGCCTTTACACGGAGGGTATCTACAGGAAGTCCGGGTCAACCTGCCGCGCCCGAGAACTGCACCAAATCCTCGAGACCAGTGAGAAAAATGTTATATTTAAGTCAAAGAAGTTATACATCACAATATCTGTACCAAAACCTTGATACGTTGAGATAAATTGTTTGGCAGCTTATCTCCTGGCATAACTGCCTTGTACCATTGTAGACATAATATATAAAATATCGATAATACACTCAATACAACAAACTAGTTTTACATTGTGTATGTGTCTTGTTTTATGAGGCTACAAATTCAAAATGAATCATTTCTGTTGGCATTTGAGCTACATGATTTAGCAGTTGGTGACACATTAAAGCAAATTAATTAATTTACTCTACACACTTGGAAATAGTAAACTAGTTCTGTAGACACATTTGCCTTAGAGCTGGAGTTGAACCTTCATCTTTTGGGTTGATGGGAAAATCTACAGACCATTGAGCAACTGCTGCCCACCAATCTCTTTCCTTTTAGCTATAGACATAGGAGTAAATAGTAATTCCTTAGAAAGTGGTTTATGTGGTTTAGCGCTTTACATCAACACTATGCAGTGTTGATGCTTTAAACATTACTGTGTTGTTTTTCTATAACAATAACAATAAAAACTTCAAAATTATACATTAATCTGGACGCTGTTTCTGACTCTATAATTTTGTTATTTGCATGATTGTTCTTTGGTGTTACAGATCCTGAAGCTGCCTCTTTGGACAATTACCCGATCCACACCATCACAGGCCTGGTCAAACGCTGGCTCCGAGAACTGCCTGACCCTCTGATGACCTTTGCCCTGTACAATGACTTTTTACATGCTGTCGGTGAGTAAATGATCATACATTTGAATGTATTATCCAATATCACTTCAATTAACATCATAAACATGTGTTGTACTCTCCAATGTATGTAATGAGGTTTTGAGTTTTGTATTATTCTTCTACTTTACTTGCATATTCCAGCTTTTACTATATTTCCACAGTTTCAAGTTTATACCATTTATTATTCCTAGTTTGTGAACATTTACGGTACTGTATAAAGAAGTGGATGAAGGGACTGTGACGTACCAACAGCTCCAGTTACATGAAGCTCATGATGCTAGCAGTTTGAGGAGTGAATTTGGAGCCAAGTTCTACAGGAATAAGAATTTATTTACAGACAAAGTAGCTAAATAAAAGCTCCAGAATCATGTAGACCGGGGTAATATGGACATTTTAAGACTGCAACAGTTACAGAGAGAGGGGTGACATTTTTTCAATGCAAAGTCAATTGGAGTCGAAGTGATCGGAGTTGTAAACATCCCCATGCTCACTTCCTATTTGGAACGCTGCGGCTGCCAGGTTAACTATGTCCATTTATATACAGTCTAAGTCTGTGAATGTAGTTTATTGACAGTATTTGACATTTTCATAGTTCATGTGATTAATCTGTTTTATTATTCATTGTTTAGAGTTGCCAGAGAGATCTGAGCGAATCCGTGCAGTCTATCAAAAAGTGGATGAACTTCCTCCTTCTAATTACAACACACTGGAGCGCCTAATCTTTCACCTTGTCAAGTAAAACAAAAATCATCTGTTTGTTTCATTTGGTAAACTTCCAGATCATAAATAACTTGTTATTTTATTTCTTGTGTATTTTAGAGTTGCCAAAGAGGAAGATCACAATAAAATGTCTCCTAGCTCTCTGGCCATTGTCTTTGCTCCGTGTGTCCTGCGCTCTCCAGATTCGAATGACCCTTTGCTCGGCATGAAGGACGTAGCCAAGATAACAATGTAGGCCACTGTGTAATGCTCTAAAGGCCCTGTATACACTTATCCTTATTGTCTAACAGTGACAGGGATGTTTAATTTGAACTGCAGTCTTAAATAATTTGTAGTTTCATAAAGATTGTTTTATGCATTTGTAAAGGCAGTGTCAAAATCTGGTCGCTGCTTTTCTTGTGTCGGGCCAAATCTTGCACACTGTCAGACAGTAGTAATGTAGATGTTATCTTGTGGTGATATATGAAAATACAGCAGGGCTGGGTTGGCCACTCTCATTACAAACAGAAGGTTTAAAATGTTGGTTTTAATTAAAAATGAATATAGTTAAATCTATGTGTTTCTTACAGGTGTGTGGAGATCCTGATCATGGAACAGTTCAGACGATACAAAGAGATGATGCAAAACATTCAGGAGTTGGAGTATGCAGAGGCCCTGGCAGTGAAAGAACTTCATCTCCGCAGGCAAAACACGGTGGGGCAAAGCACAAATTCACTCCCCACACTGCTGCACAACATCTGGTAGACATAGACTTGTTTCCAAGAATTATGGGCAGAAAAATTCTGGTGTACTGCATTATTAAACTAAACTAAAATGTAAAATTGTATGATATTCTTGCATTTGACATGTCTGCTGTCTGAAATACTAGTTACTGGCCATTTATTTAGTGGCCATTAAGACTTATCGCATGATTAAAAATGTAATCACAAGCAATTAAAGTCAGTTGTGGGGCAAAAAAGTAGAAATATGAAATTTTTCAAAATTGAGCAATTTCAGACTTGTAGGAATACCAAGTTTTGTTTTTATAAATGAGAAATGAACAACACGTGCTAAATGAACTTTCTATATTATTACATCAATGTACATGGCTTGATGTTTCTGCCATTGTCTGCTAGTCCAAACTGGGGGCAGTGTTTAAAAATGAGAACAACCTTTATGATTTCTTGTGTCTCTGCAGATTGTTGAAAAACCACAACCAGATGTGCCTGAATTGATAGAATCTGATGAAACCGAAAAGACGCTCATCGATAGAATCAGGTCGATCAAACAAGAAAAGTAAGACTCAGTTTATTTATGTAGAACAGATCCTGTTATAAACAAACCATTGCTCAGTAAAAAATACATTATGAGGAATTATCTGAGTTAATTCCAACTTCTAAGATCCAGCCTTGAGATCGGGAGAAGGTTCCTGGGTGCTTAACTGCAGTCCCCTAATGCTCCTCACTGGTTGCATTAAGGATAAATGAATGAATGAAATAAAATAAATATTGCTATAGTTATGACTGGCCATAGGTGTAATATATGTTATTTTCCAGGGTGGACTTGGCCTGCAGGTTGCCCGATTTGGAGCAGGAGCACTCTGATAATGATAATTTGGATTCAGCTTCGTCGATGAGCACAGAGAGCCTCGAGGACCGTCTGAAAAGCCTTGAATCGGAAGGTCAGTAGTGAGGTACGGTACATGCCTTTGCTACTAAATCTCTTGATCTGTGATTTTCTCAATACTAAAATGTGTTCAGAAAATCACACAATCAAGTGTTAATTCACTGCTTACTGGATGTGTTTTCTTTTCCGTTTTTCCAAATAATCTAATAATCCAGTAATTCAAAATAGTTTGACCACTGTTTAATCCTGAGGCAACAATAAGTAAGGATAACTCTACTAGTACTAATAACAGTAATGACTAAATGTGGCAAGAATGTCTGCTAACAATCAAATCACTAGTTTTCCACATGCCTTTTAAATTACTCTAAGATCATTTATAAACTAACACAAGTTGCTTTTAAATGTGATGTTTGTTCCTGGCTGCTTTTATCATGCTATTATTTTATGTATCATGTATTAATTGTAGTTTTAAATGTTCACAGTAATATTGTGTATGCTTTTGTCCAAATTTTAGGGAAGCTGACTTTACGGTTGTCAAACAGGAAGCCTGACTCACCCACAGACCTGTCGCAGAGAGTGAGGAGTTTGAGAGTGCAAACAGATGATGAACCATTTGAGTTTTTACCTGCTGAATCTTCCCCCAAAACAAAAAACAAATATTCAACGATAGAAAAACAAGGGAGTTTTGACCATCTGGACATCCCCTACATTGACGAGGAAGATGAAGACCTAACTTGATTTATGCACATTAAAAAAAAAACAACAAAAAAAAAAAATAATATAACTCTCGACTCAAACTTGCACTTTGTTGGGATGTTTGTGGAGACGCTGCTAATAAAATGCGTATTTAACAGTAGGCCCTACACAGATATTTCTGGAGTGAAACATAAAGAAGTGCAAACTACTATGACTTCTCAGCATCTTATAAATGCTAAATGTGATTTTAAATAAGCCAGAAAAGAATAAGGAACTCATGTACAGTACCTTTTATGATTACTAATACGTATGTAGGGATACTACAGTCAAGCAACAAGCATGTGCATCTTTAATTAAATTCTGGTACTAAATAGGATTTGTTGTGGTGTGGGGAAATAATGTCTTTGTATTAAATGTGTATTTTTTAACATGTCTTGTTTTATGGGGCTTTAATTTCATTTTAATTTTCTATAAAATGTCTTTATTATTTAATGTAATTAATGACGTTGTCATTATGTCATTTTGCTGCCTTTAATGTGACTGAACACTTTTCTCAATTTCCTGTTGCCTGGTTATTAAATCACACTTCATCCTATATAAGCTATAACTGTTTAAAGCAGACAGACTATGCAGTTCTTGTGGAATTTGACACTAGACACAATGAAAAATAAAAAGACAGCCTGTTCTTGTCTTGCCGCTTTATAATACTTTATATGTTTTCAATCGTTTAATTTAATTGTATTTAGTTTTCTGAGAGCTTACTTTCAGGGAGCTATTTTCTGAAATATAAATAACAGTATGTATTATTTAGTTTACGTCACACACACTGAAGCTATTGAAATATTAATGTAGTTAAGTTTCGTGGAAATATTGGTACATTTTGTTCAGTGGAAAACACTGGCTCCATATAAGGATTTCCTCATTGTTACTCGAGCCTGCGGAGCGCGCGTGAGTCTCGTTCTGAGTATGTGGAGCGCTGAGGTCCTGACAGCCAATTAGAGGCCGAGTTTGAGTTTAGGTATGAGTGAGCAGCCAATCAGCGGGCCGTATCGGGGAGGATGGGCGGATCCACGTCCCGTTCAGGAAGACGGGCTGACGCGAGTGGCTGAGATGAGAAATCACCATTTAGCTTGATGCTAACTGCCTGGAGCCGAGCACCGAGCTGTTATGAGAAGAATAAAGACTGTGTTGAGTATTTGTTTATTTGAGTAGGTGCGACGATGGACCAATGACACCAAGAATGGACATAAGTTAAGGATGACTGGGGAGAAGAAGAAGAAAAAGCGGCTAAACCGCAGCATTCTTCTTGCAAAGAAAATTATTATAAAAGATGGAGGAAGTGTGAGTTAAATATTTATTTATCTTTGTTAACTTGCTTTGCCATGAACCCAGTAAGATGTGATTGTATCGGTCCGTTCGCGGGTAAATGAAGCAGAGCATCGATGTTCATTTAGGGGATGTTTTTATCCGACAGCAGTTTTCTCCGTTAGCTGGGTGTGCACTGGTGTTAGCCGCGGCTAATGCTAGCGGCCTGTGAGCGCATACACGTCAGCTCAGGTGATGTGAACTGGCTTATGTCAGTGAAGCTGCGTTTTTAGCGTTTATCAAGAGTATTTATTTCCTTAACCCAGCGAATTAATTAAAAACATACACCTGACATTGCTGCTTCCGTCCGATTTTGAAAAAAGCTGCCCATAGCACGTTAGCATGTGTTTACATTGATTTTATTTCCCTGTCACATCTGTAGACATTTATCCAGACTGTCACTGCTGTTGTTGTCTTCGTTTCACCGCTTTGTTTTGGCGACAGAAGATGTGTTTACTGTAGTTTGATACAAACTAAACCATGAATGTGCCTTGTAACGTGTAGGTTTCCTGTTTGAGGTGAATGAATCTCCCTCGGGCTGTTTTGTGTTTGTAGAGTTTATCAGTTTGGAGAATAAGAGTTGGGAGCAGGTTGGTTTCAACGTTATGTTTGTTCATTTTACGAATTTCCTAAAATGTCTTCAAATGTTTCAGGCAAATAATCAGTCCCATAAACGTATTTTATGCTTCTTTGCTAATGTATGATTCAAAATGTGTGTATTATTTACAGAGAGAGAGAAGCGATTGTCCCAAATTGGGTTGTTGGCAAAGCGTGGGTATAATGCTTGAGATTGCAACAAATACTGTGACTGTTATGCAACAATCAGGACAGCTATGCCCAATGATGCAAATTGTGTATCCCAATAAAACTATGAATAAATAAATTGTTCTGTTTTAGTTTTTAGTTAGTTAGTATGTTTGTATTTTCCTTGATATTTCTGTTTGTGAGCACCATCGCCATTTTAATTTTATTTCAGCCACTAGTAATTCAACCACTTCCTCTTGTAGCCCACTGCTCAATGGTAAAATCTGATGTAGAACTAAGTAGTTGTAGTAGGAGTAGTAGCAGCTTCCTCTTTTCTATGGTAACAACATAAACAATTTAGTGTGGGGTTTTTGTCACATAGGATTTCTTTGCTTGTGTGCCAACTGTATCAAGAAATGTATTTTTTTATTTTCAACCTCTTATCCAACTTTTACCCAAGAGACTGACAGAGTATCAAATGATACAGTCATTTTATACATGCCTTTTGTTAGGTTGGCTGTGGTCTACTTTACTGTTGCTAGATTTGTAACATAATAATTATGTCATTGTCGGTGTATTTTAATGTTTGAGAGTTTTAGGCTGTGCTGTTAATGTGTTCCCAATTAAATGCACATTGATGCTAACCATATATCCGTATTTGTCTCTTTCTCTTTGTTCTTTTTAGCCGCAGGGGATTGGTGAGCCCAGTGTTTACCATGCTGTGGTGGTCATCTTCCTGGAGTTTTTTGCATGGGGTCTCCTTACCACCCCGATGCTCACGGTAAGCAAAATACTTATCAAAAGCTGCTAAACAAATCCAGGTGGAGACACTTGAGGCTGTGGACTTGGTTTATGGAAAACCATTTTAAGCTATTAATTAGTAAATAAACCGCAAATGTGAAAGTCTTTAAACATAAGTGTTTTTCAACATTCTTTGAGTTGGGACAGTTTTGTTGACTGGGGACAACAGTACACCAGCGACCAAAACATTAACTCCAATTAGAAGCATTAGAAAATCATTAATGGTTTGCGATTATACAAACTGGGAATTTGTTTTGTGTCTTTAATAGTCATTTATCATCAAAATCAAAAAGTGTGGTAACTTTTGGTGCTAAATTATCTAGCGAGCCTTATGTCTACAAAATGCACTCATTTGTACCGTTTTATGTAAATACAACTTACAGTGTCAGTTACATGTCTAGGCCTACACATTTTTGTTCTCTAAAAGCAGAGGTGGAAGGTGGCATTTCCCATTGACTGGAACCACATGGCTCCATTACTGTCTATGAATAATTTAATGGCTAATCAAATGGCTCTGAGTGACGCTAGCTTTGTGCTGGGCTCTGGTCTGAATGTTTGTGTTGTTTAGCCGATGTTTATTGCCGGACGCTAATGGGAGAGAAATATGAAAAGGGCATCAAACGGTGGCATTGTGAGAGCTGTGGGTCTTTGTTAAAAAGGGCTTATCAGGAGGTCACTGCCTGGTCTGTGTGTGCAGGCTATAGTGCAATAGAAAGACAAGCAAACTATGTAAGCTAGTTTTACCCACTGATTTCTATTGAAACTATGTTGGCAGCCATGATCCTTATTTGTTGAGTAAAATGTTCAATTAATTGTACAATTGAATTGATAAGTAGTTTTTTTATGCTTCTGAGAATGAGAGGTAGGGCTGCATAATTTTAAATAATTGCATTTTCTTCTGACAAGTATGGAGATTTATGTTTAAAGTAGGATTCAGCTCACAGTGCACATTGTAAACAACTCCTTGAGCATTTCAAAGAAGACTGAAATATGAACTGAACTTAATACAAGTAGGATATTTCTGTTATCTGAATAGTAACATAATTTTTTATTTGATTATTACAGCAACTCAAATTGTATGTATGATTTCCAATGCCATTATAATGTGTAGCTTGTTTTTAGATATTTAGATTATTTGATTGGAAACAATAACCCACACAATCAGTTTCAATTTAGATTTCAATTCCTCAGTGTTTTATAGTTCTGGCTCTACACAAATATGTTTCTGTCAAATCTGAAAGTTAGTTTGAGAAAGAGGTCATATTAGTTGCAGCAATGTTATTTATGAATGGAATGTTGCTTGTCAGTGCTTTGTTTATCCCTCCTCATAGTACTATAGTACTTCTTTATTTTCTGTTGTAGTTGAGTCAAAAAAAACAAGTTAATGCTGTGACTATTTGTTATTTTGGTCATATTTTCTATTATTCAGTGATTCTCTGTTTAATGTTCAACAAGTTGCCCTCCTATTGATCACCCTCAGTCATAATGAGTGAGTGACATGTGGATTTAACCAATCACATTCAAGTGGGAACCTTCATTAGCAGCAGTTGGCTTAAGTTCTGATCTAAGTACAAGATTATTATGACAACATTTTGGGGATATTGTCCACCTCTATTCTGTAGACTGTAGCAATAATGAAGCTAATGATTCAACTGTTTTTGTTCAAATGCATAATTATTTTGAGAAAGTAAATGTGGCAGTCATTTTCATATTTTTGTGGAATAACCTTAACCTGTAGCTCAGATCAGCAGACATCTGTGAGCCACATGGACAAGCCTTTTGTACAATGGCTCTGCAGCTGCTCCTCCAATAGAAGAGGACACTATTGTTTATGCAGCCCTCAGCGCTAATGAGCTGGGCTTCGTTAGGCCTGAAGATCCCGGGACTGAGGCAGTATTTGCATTTTGGACTAATCATCGATGAGAGAGAGGAGAGAGACAAAGAGATATGGGCGGGGGAGTTATAGAAAGAGAGAAGAGCAACAGAATGAAAAGGTTAAGAACAGAAAAACGGAGAAATAAAGTGGGCTCACTCTATAAGCAGAGTGTTGAATTTAAACTGAAACTAGTGTCAATGAACTCCTCACTGTAGACTTTGAACTGAACAACATGTAAACCATCCAGGCATTGATTTTTGGCATCGGATACCACATCTCTGGAGTTATGGATCTATACAGACATTGAAAGCTCATTTTAGCATTTTGGTTTATTGCACCGTGCATCATCATCACTTTCTTGGCTTTTCAGTTCATGGAGTTGACATAATTTAAAAAAATAAAATAAAATAATCTCATGTTATTATAATGTTACTATAGCAGAATGAGGTATTTGTCATCTTTGTACTGGGCATTGTGAAATGTGTTTTGTATATTGACCAAAATGACTTGAATTACTTTATTTTTAGGCCAAGAAATTGTTTAAAAATCCAAACTGAACAATGATGGAAAAAGTAAACCACCTTAACAAACATTGCCGTCTTCCATTTTAATCATTATTGAGAGTCGCTGCTGATTCATGGGTTCCATTTATAGGCGTCATTTTGAGGACTTTTGGTCATTTTGCATTGTATGGCAATAATACATTTTTTTAATTTACTTTATTTATTTACTTTACCTTTCTTGCATCAGATTTTTACCAGTTAAAAAAGAGTAAATTTATCGAAATAAATGGATTGTAATTTTTCACAAATGCAAGTTAGGTGTCACCATGACAACTCACATAAAAATACTAACTTTCACATTTATTTTTATCTGAAGGTGATGGCCTGTCAGAATAAATTAAAGCCAAGTAGACTGATGCTAATAGCGTGAGACGGCTTGCAGTGTCCAATGTAGAAATGCATGTGCTTTCTCTATAGTACCGTTTACTTTTTATCTTGCGTGTGTGTATTGTCGTTTTGAAAAATGTCACTGAATCAAGACTAAACAAGGGCTGATGCTTCCTTAAATTTTGATCAGTAGTAAATGTAATTTTATATTTAATTTTTTGTCAGTTCTAATTAAACTGCCATTGGATAGAAAGTGATGGCTGTAGTTTCTGTTTTGGTTTGTGTCTCATTTGTCTTTTTGTTTCTTTTCCAGGTTTTACGCCAAACATTCCCCCGGCACACATTCCTGATGAACGGGCTCATCCATGGAGTCAAGGTATGTTTTAGTGTCTTGACAGCTCTAATATAAACAGAAAAACTAATGCTATAAATAAAGGGTCTACACTACAGGACTTTATACGCAAGACTACATGAGGTTGTAGTTTTTACAGGACTGTAAATGCATCTAATTGAAGCTAATGAATTGTATTGCAATTTTTATTTAATTGCACTTAATTCTGCATCTGAGATACACTGCTTGCAATTGTCTTTAATAAGAAAGTTTCTTTAGACAAACAGCCAAATACAACAATTTTAGGTGGACATGACCTCCATTTATTTGACATGTAGTATCATAGTGTATGTTTTTATGTTTTTTTAAAACAACCAAATAACACATGTTGAATTACTTTGCCACGCCCTTTAATGTTTATTATGTTGAAAAGGAGCTATATATAGTACTTTTTGCGTATGTGATCTGTACAAAGCTCTAAATACATAAGCACAGATGTAATTAGTCCATTTTAGGTCTGAGGGTTTTGAGCATGTTTGATCATGTTCAGTGACGCAGCGTCTGACATTGTTTGAATTTCATCTGAACCCTGAACACGGTGAGGGCACAGTCTGCACTGCCTGGACACTCAGAGGAACACAGAGCTATACTGTGTGTGGAACGCTTACATATATAACCGGCTAATGTCTGCACATAGGGCTAATCAGGTTCAATTTAACCATAAACAATAACATAAATTACTGATAACTCAATCAGTACTTATATTGATTGAGTGCATCTTGGTTACTGATTGATAAAACCCATGTATGCAGACAGCGTGTGAATTTGATTAAACTCTACAAACATGTCCTTTTGATTTGATGCAGTAGATGTATATTTATTATATCCCAACAAAGGCAAAAAGTTGATATAATAAAAAAAATCTGGCACCGTATTTCATCATTTTTTTTCTAACTGATAATGAGACAGTGTAATCTTTCATTCATTCAGGAGTGGTTCATCATAGAGAAGCTTTTATTGATGGTCATTTGGACTCAAGACGTTTCGGCTCCCACTCAGAAGCAATTTTTCAATTGATGTGGGGTTGAACTTGGGTATCCAGAGTAGGATAAATTAGCAGTGTTTCAGGCCAGTACCATCAGTTGAAAATGGCTTCTGGATGGGTGCCAAAACATCTTGATCACAAAAACAAATGACAAAAGATGAATCCTTTTCTAAAATTTACTCTTCAAAATAACACAATAAGATACTCGTATACAATTTTACTTTGTTTTAAATGTTTTACAAACTGAAGTTTTGGTTTTATTTGGTTTTGCAGTGACCTGTTACACCTGGTCAGTTGAATGTTTGTTTGGGAACCCCTAACGTAACCTGTGATGAACTCTCTTTGTGTAGGGCCTGCTCTCGTTCCTCAGCGCTCCTCTCATCGGGGCGCTGTCTGACGTTTGGGGGCGAAAGTCTTTTCTGCTGCTAACGGTGTTTTTCACCTGTGCACCCATCCCACTCATGAAGATCAGCCCCTGGTAAGTGTCGAGAGAAAGCTGTATGTTGTTTTGCCTTCTCAAAATTCAAATTGTTTCTCTTTTTTTTTGGTCTTGGACAAATCTGATTTAAAGTTGTTGTTTTTTTGTAGTTGTTTTTATAACAAACCTGAAATATAAGTAAATATTTTTGATATGTTATATTTATTGATATTTGCCATTGTAAATTTGATACCAAAGATGTATAAAATCTTTTGTCACTTTTTTAAACTCATCTCGTTACATGAATCAGGGCATAACTATCATTGCATCTCTAACCTGTGTTAAGCCTTAAAACCAACATTATGCAAAGCTGTACTCAAATACTACAGCTGAGGAGGAGGTCAGTGATGAAGACTGCCATTTCTCAATAAGCCAAACAAATGGTCCACTCCCTTAAGCAAACGTTTGGGCTTCAATTCAAATGACTGTTTTCTGCCACAAGAGCACAACAAACATGACTGACTGCTCACCAACTGCAGACAATTTCATAACAAGAAAATGGAGGATAAGTGTAGAATAGCAGTACATTTTTCTATCAAAACACACAATTTGTTTCTCTTTATTGTATATAAATGTTATAACTTTTAAAAACTGCCTTGCACAACTTTTCTGGTTTAGATTTCTCTTCACTGCTTACTTGCTACCACAATGTTAAACTTGTCTATCTCCATGGAGACAAGCCAAGTTACAGGTCAGGCCCATGATCCTGGTGTTTTTATTTCTCTATTTAGTCCCTCAATCCAGATATGAACATTAATAACAGACAAACTGGGAGCCATTTTCCCAAAGGTCACTCCCACTTGCTTTAGCAGCAGGTTAGATTGCCAGCGTTTCGCCCCAAGCTAAACCAGTGGTGGAGGCAAGTTTTACAAGTACCAATTTTCTTTTCCATGCAAGATGGACAAGCTTAATGCCATACTGGGAAACATTTCAGGCAAAGCAATAAACTCTTTCATTGTGAATGACAAGCATTTGGCAAACCTTTATCTGAAAAAGTTACCTAGTACATCTTTAAATTTAAATGTCCTTTTTCCTCTAGGTGGTACTTTGCTGTCATCTCCATGTCTGGCGTATTCGCAGTCACTTTCTCTGTCATTTTCGCCTATGTGGCCGACATCACGCAGGAGCACGAGCGAAGTACAGCATATGGGCTGGTGAGTCAGACTTTTCAAATGTCACGATTTGTGAAATATCTAGGTTTGTGATTTATGTTTTGTTAATCTGTTCAGGGTTAGCAGTTTGTATGCAGAATAAGACTTGGTTTAGGATTTAGTTGTTTGTGGAGGATATTATTGTTTTATTTAATATGAAGAGGCCATCATTGCATGCTGACTGTTTAGGTGCACAGACATTGTGCTGAGGGAAATAGTTGTTGACGTGAAACTCACCATTTGTCATGAAAAAGAGTCCTCCCTGTCCTGCTAAATTGTGTTTCTAAATATTTAACTTATTATAATAATGTTAAATATTAGCTTAATGCTGGTCAGGTAGGCCACCATACCAAAACTACTTATTTCAACGAATATGACTGGTGTACCAGGCTAAATAGTGTAAAACAGGGCTCTCAAACTCAGTTGGAGCAGGGGCCAAAGTTACAAAATCAATGTTTGTCGGGTGCCACATATTGTATAACGCATTATATATGACCACCAAACTATCATGCAGCCTCACACAGAATAAACTTGAATGAAATGTAGTCTGATACATTTTATAAGGGCTGCATGATATGAGACATAGATATTTCGTAAGTATTTGTTGTATCGCAAACTATATCATAGCAATATCGGTATTTACATTTTTTGACGCAATAAGTTAAGTAAAATTAAAACTTATACCAAGACCAAACTGGGTTAAAGGAGTACGCAATAAGGAATTTGTGAATAAAATCTGCCCTTTTTGCATCTACTTTCAAAACTCTCATTTCTTTTCATACGGAGAACTTTGTATTGTATTTATCATTGATTATTTGCAATATCAATGTGTTTAAGATATATTGTTCAGCCCTACCTCTCTCTCTCATTACATTTGATTCCAACAGGCAATAAATCATTAGCCTGATTTATCTGCCGGTTTCACTTTGTAGAAATCATCTGACCTCGCAGTGTTGGAATTTGTTCGCTCGACGGTAGGCAGGTACTTTTTATCATTTAAGCAGTCGCTGCTATTGGGTCATGACGTATGTAAAGCGCCGCTAATTTGGCTAACTGGTATATTAAGCGTTTACGAAATCCCGTAGAAAGAAGGGCAATAAAGCCTTTCCCCTTGATGAAATTCACCAAACATTCTCTTTATGCTGGCTTTAAATCCTCGATCTTGGGAATCGTTGGCAACACTGAATGCATGGCTCTTCGCTGATTGGCTGGTGCTCAAACTTGCACTTCTGGGTTTTTTGTGAACTGTCTATTGTATTTTGATTCCTGACCTAGTTGCCGGAGAGAAATGAAATTGAGCGGAGGCACTAAATCACAGTTTAGAGGGGGAAGAAATGAACATTCACATCGCCATTTTAAACTCTTTCTTTCTTTTACCATGTATTATATAATTTTTTTTGTACATTCATGTGGGTGGCTTGTGAATTAAACACTGGGGAAAAAATCTATAAACATGTATAAGTACTAAATAAAGGCCAAAGCACACATTTAAATAGTTTTTAATTTGTATTAATGCTTATAAATGGTAATAGTTGGATATGCTCTAGCATGGTTGACGCCTGAGCCCCTTCCTCCTTCTTCCTGACCATCCAGGTCGAAGTCCTCATTGTAGACGTGGGCGTCATCCTCTAATGTATAGAGGTACCAGGGCTTTGAGGAGAAAGTGTTCGAGCTGTCCATGTTTGTGTGCTTCTTCACTAGTGTTCTGAGAAGTTGTGAGCCAAAAGTGAACCTTTTTCAGGCTTTCAGTCTATTTTTAGATTATGTCACATTCTAGATCTCTATCAACAATACGATTTATAATATTGATTTAACACACAAAAAATACATCACTTTCCATCTGTTAGGGTTAGGTCAGTATTTATGATCATCTACACTCATGTGTGTGGAAAATGTGTGTTGTATGATGTACAGTGTACATCTTACTTATACTTTTTTTTTTTTATTCTATTAGGATGAGCAACTGACAAATCACTATCATTGGTTTTAAAATAACTACATTTTGGTGACTGATGCTACTTCATTTTGACATCATTGGTGGTGAATGCTAAAGGGTTGTGTGTGTTTAGTATTTCCATATATCCCCATCCACGTAAGAATATTTAGAAGGAGAAAGTTACTCTCTAGTCCAGGGCTCTCAAACACAGTTTGAGCAGAAGAGCAGAGCAGAAGTTATAAAATCACTGTTTGTCGGAGGCCGAATATTATATAACATATATATCATTTTTTTATAGGCTACAACTGATCAGAATTATTATTATAATATGTTATAATCATAATATACTGGGATACTATTTTATAGTGTATATGTAATGCGAGACAGAGGTCCTCGTTGGGTTAAGAAAATAATATGGTAGTTTCTAAAAATAAAATTCATGATTTATTACAGGTTTTTAAGCAGTGTTAAGTGTCTATGTGTTGTTTTTCAGTTCAGACGTATTTTCAACAAGAGCACCAGGGTCAATCTTCACTTCTGCAAAGGCACTTAGGCAATGAACCATCAACCTTTGAGTAGACATTAAGTACTGTACATGCTAAACAGAAATTACTTCTCTCCCCATCTACTGTAGCCTTAGCTCATGAGGCTGCTCCTCTGGTTTAACAGTCACTCCTGCCTGTTTCTGAAGCTTCTGTACTCAGTCCACTTTTTTTACTGTTATTAGGTTATTTTTTGAGACCAAAAGTTTGTTTTCATACCTGACAGTTTCGACTGCTCACTAGCGGTCTTCCTCAGAGTGGTCACGTGATGCTGTGATGTGTCCGGTCAGCTGATTTATTCAGGTTTTGGTGCTGTCTTCCTACCCGAGGAGGCAGGATAACAGCGCCATCTGCTGTCCGACTTTCTCAGGACAGTTTCTCAGGTGTGTGAGAGTAAAAAGGCCCCCTTCCAGGGCGGGACGAGGGGGCATTTTTACTCACACTGTTTGGTGTCCGTTTCTTGGTTGGAGTAAGTTTGAAAGTCCGTGTAGAAGCACTGTCTGTCCCTCTTACTCTGTCCTGCTATGTGTTTGGGAGCCAAATTGGCACTACAGGCCACAATACATTATTAATTAATAATTGCATTTATATAGGGCCTTTCAAGACCCCCAAAGCACTTTACAGTTCATTATTCATTTCCACACTCTGGTTGTAAGCTACTATTGTAGCCACAGCTGCCCTTGGACAGAGTGACGGAAGCGTGGCTGCCAATTGGTGCCATCGGCCCCTCCGACTACCTCCATCTCTCACGCACACTCCACTTTTGTACTAGGCAATGTGGGTGAAGTCTTACCTAAGGACACAATGATGTTTTTGCCACTGGCGGACCACTGTGGCACCTGATTTTCCCAGCGGTCTCCCATCCAAGTACTACCCAGGCCCGGGCTTACTTAGCTTCTGAGATTTGACAAGATCAGGCTTTGACAAGCCTGTATGCAAATTGTAGTTCAAATTCTTATGCATTTTATCAGCGGGCCACTATCAATAAAAATTAGAAATCATCTTGTGGGCCAGTAGAAATGATCTCAAGGGCCTCATTTGGCCCGCGGGCCACAAGTTTGATACCCCTGGTGTAAATGTGTGGTGTAATGAACTCTGCAAAAGAAATGAGGACAGCCCCATTATAGACATTATACCAATGTGTCATCTTTAAATCAAATGAAATGATAAATAGCGCTTATAAATGATGAGTATTCACTACATCAGTCATTTCAGTTATGACCAAATAGTTTAGTTAATTATTTTTCCCATAATGAAGCAGCCCTGAGTTTACTGACATACCATTCCTCTCCCCTCTTCTCTCCTCCTCTCGTCCTTGTCTCCCCTCTTCTCCTCTCAGGTGTCTGCGACGTTTGCAGGGAGCCTGGTGACTAGTCCTGCTATTGGGGCATACCTCTCGGAGAACTATGGGGACACTTTGGTGGTGATTTTGGCCACGGCCATCGCGCTGCTCGACATCTGCTTCATCTTGGTGGCGGTCCCCGAATCACTGCCCGAGAAGATGAGGCCTGCCTCGTGGGGGGCACCTATCTCATGGGAGCAGGCGGACCCTTTCGCTGTGAGTAGCATTCTGGGACTGTTGAGTACTACTTCTCTACAGTCAGTTTCATCAAGAGGTTCAGACAGTCCCCAATCCTGTTATTTGGAACTAGATGTAGGCAGTATGAACTGAAAAACAAATAGTATTGCACTTGTTGCTTTGAATTTTGAGTATATTGTCACAAATGGAAAGTATTTTAAAAGGCTGCCAAAAGAAGAGCTGATTGAAAAACAGAAACTTGCCGTGCAATTGTCCAAACAACAAGGGTCTATAGTGGTATTTTTTTTGCTTGGCGTGCCTGCTTGAACCTCATCCATGCCAATTACGGAGACATTTTAGCACATTTCTTACAGTGCAGGTCTGAATATTGGGATAGTCTAAAAAAAATTGAAGTATTCATTTTTGGCTATATTATCCACCTAAATAGAAATATGACATCACTCTCAATAGTCATTGTCATAGTCATGCTCTCACTGTTTAACCACACATGTGCATAGTCATTTTATCTATTTCCAAGTCAATGTAAACACTACAGACCCACAGAATATTATGAGATCATCTGAAACCCATTTGAGTTGTTTGATTCCTAAACTCGACTGTCCCTGTGTCTCTTCAGTCTCTGCGTAAAGTGGGCCAGGACTCGACGGTGCTGCTCATCTGTATCACAGTGTTTCTGTCCTACCTCCCTGAAGCTGGACAGTACTCCAGCTTCTTCCTCTATCTCAAACAGGTAATGCTGCTCTCTCTCCTCCTCTCTGTCCTTCTTCTCCTTTCTTCTTCCCTCTCTCTTCCTCCCTATCTTTTTCGCTCTCTTCTTCTCTGTCTACTTCTCTTACTCTCTTATTTTTTCTCCCTCTTCCTAATTTCTCTTGGTCTCACCCTCTCTATCTACCTCTCTTGTTTCTCCTCTTCCTCTCTTGCTCTCTCTGAGGACCTTAGACTGGAAATGGACATAGCTAACTAACTAGCTAAGTGAGCATGGGCGCTCTTTTGGCTTCATCAACTCTGGTTCTAATTCACTTAACACTGAAAAACCATCACCCCTATATCCCACGTGATTGCTGCTGTAACGCTTGTCATTTTGGTCTTAAAATGTTCATATTATCCCGCTCTATATGATCCTTTTTATTTCTGATTGCCTAAATTGCGATATGCCTACTCCATGCTAAATCAGTGGGTGGAAAATGGAGTTAACTTCAGCAACCTTATCACTAGGAAGCAGAGTTTCGACCGCAAGTTTCAAATTTACCCCTTTAACCCGTAGCCTCAATGAGTTTCATTCGACTGGAGCCAAACGCTGTGGGTGACGTCACACTCCCTTAGTCCACTTCTTTGCACTGTCAGTGTTGAGGATGAGAGCTTGTTCAGTCTTTCACTCGTTAATTCTTTGGGTGTCTGTCTCATTCGGCAATAGCAAGAACAGTTTTGCTCCTCATTTGCACACAGAATTGCATTATTATGATTTTAGTTTCTTTACTACAGAAAGTTGAGTTGGTGCACATGGACAAATTAATCTCCCTCGTGCATTAAATTGTCAGTACTTTGCGAGACTGCTTTCACATATTTCCACTTGCTAATGACTCAGACACGGCTGAAGTGAAGCTGTGGTTTAGCTTTGGGACAAATAAGTGGCGCAAAATTGCAGACTAATTTTTTTCACATATTAGTTTCCAAGCTCGGATCAGTTGGTTTTCAGAAAGCAATAGCAAAATTACATACTTGCAAAAATGTAAAAACAGCTGTTTACGTAAGATAAGTTATCAAAAGTGATATAGAAATACATAATGGACTCAGACAATCACTCAACACTTGAAACTGCAAGTACCAAATCTGATAGAGAATATACAGTAGCAGAGAAACTAGTCTAACAGCTTTTGGCATGGGGCCCTGCTTGTAAATGTTCACAAAAACACGTTTACTGTTACCATCACCACACCCATCTGTCCTCCCGCTTTGTCAAAGTTGTTCTTGTTTAAATACTCAACATATTGGATTTCTCTGCTAATCTAAACTATCCAATAAACTGTATTCTTAAGATTAGTGTAATCACTTTGGTAATTTTTAGTCAAGTTTAAGGTCCTATAGTACGCAAAATTGTCTCTTGTGAGCTTTAAGCCATGTTAAAATGTTGTTATCTCTGCAGAAACATATTCCCAGTTGTGTTTCAGTAATCTTGCATTATTAGTCTGTCTACATATCTAAATATCAAAAGACTGTTCCACCTTATTAACAGCGACCTTTACTTTTAGTTCAATAGAGATGAGCAATTCTAGGGCTAAGGTTATCCAAATGATTCTCGTGAGGGTGTATGAAGTTTAAAAATGCAGCGGTGCACTTGATGTATTATCACATAACATCACAAAGTGGAACCTGTTAGAGAGAACACCTAAATATATAGGGTTTGTGTGTTAAACAGGTGTGAATCAAACAAAACACAACCCCAGTTATGTTTTTGTTGAGGATACAACATTATAGCATAGATCAGGAAATGGTGTAATATGGGTCCTTTAATCTTAGCTCTTCTGTAATCAATTATGGGATATGGTTTATGATTATTATTAAGTATTTGACAATGTTTCAGGTTTCGGCTGCTTATTTTCATGTTAATTCTTTGCCTGACATGTTTACAGTATGATGTTAAAAACAGGTCTTGCATTTATTTCATTATAGATGTTTATACTGCAAGAAAAAAAAAACTTGAAAAGCATTATTGTTACTGTAAGTGGGATTGCCTCTCCTCTCCAGAGAGCTAACCTGTAAATATGCCTGGTGGCTTCACCTATTTGTTTCCATGGAGATGGAGTAGTTTAATGCCATACTTTGGAACATTCTTGTCAAAGCAATAACATCGCTGTTGAAACAAGTCGTTGGGAAATCTTCTGTTATCTGTTTATGGTCCACCAAAAAGTTGCTTGGTGGATTGATAATATGAACAGTTAAATCAACTTTTTTTTTTTCATAAAGTGACCAATATTTAGGAATACTGTTGTCAAAAGCATCAAAATCAGATACTAATTGTTACGAAAACTAGATTACACTAAAAAGAATGTGCATGTCATTGAGCCTGTCCTAACTGGTGTTGTATTTTGTGCTCCTTAGGTCATAGGGTTCACATCTGAGACTGTGGCTGCCTTTATTGCTGTGGTGGGGATCCTCTCCATATTGGCACAGGTAACATGATACTCATTTCTATTATTTCAGTTTGTTTACTTAAGCTTATATTTCTGTTGTCATTAAATTGTAAAGTGCTGCAAATGTTTGAAGAGTATTAAAATGGTAATGTAACTAACAGTTAATAAACTGTGATGTCTGCTAAGAAATTCTTGGTTGACTAAAAGCATGCCCTGACTAAAAGAGGGTGTGGCAACTGTCCAAACTATTAAATATCTCCAATCTCACCACATATTTGTTAAATATTTCTTCGTTCGCTCCCCAATTTCTTTCTGTTCTGTCCTTTCAGGATCTGAAATAGCCAAGAATAGAATTCAAGTATTTATTTTGTAGGTATTTGCTTTTAGTTGCTTGACAGAATGCTAAATAGACAAGACAATAAAAAAAAAAAATTTCATGTCACCCTCACAATCTTTTTTCACTAGCTCTTAATAATGTGTTGACTCAGCTCTCTATATTGCATTGTGTTTGCAGACCGTGGTGCTGGGGATCCTGATGCGTTCGATAGGGAATAAAAACACAATTCTTTTAGGCCTTGGGTTCCAAATCCTGCAGCTGGCGTGGTACGGCTTCGGCTCTCAGCCCTGGTCAGTAACCTCAACACAAATGCACAATAAATACACTCTGACTTCTAACAGTTTGAAATGTCTGATGAATTTAGTTTTGCCAAACATGCACTGTCATCACATCATACACTTAAACCACTGTTTTTGTTATTCATTTCACATGTCTGTACTTTTTCCAAATAAAACATTTTGTATTGCATTTTGTATGCATGGATAGATGGATAAATGTTCACATGGTTTAATAAAATGCAGTGAAATGCTCTATTTTACTTCACCTACCATGTTTGTCCACTAGAGGGAAGTATATTCACATGTTGCAGCATAGTCTGACTTTTCAAAGTCTTCGATATCAACTCCCGGTTGATTTTCAGTATTTGCATTTTTTTTTCTGTCTGGTGTTCTATATTGAAAGGGCATATGACATTTTTGACTACTCATTAAACACGACAGAATTATATTTAACTTTTTACCCAAAAAAGCTTTATTAATTTACCCCATCTTAAAAAAAAAAAAATGTTGTGTTTCTTTCAGGATGATGTGGGCGGCCGGAGCAGTCGCAGCCATGTCCAGTATCACCTTCCCGGCCATCAGCGCCATTGTGTCCCGCAATGCCGACCCCGACCAACAGGGTCAGTTTAACTTCTTTTTTAACGTTTTAACTTATGTTCTTTTTATTATTACTCTACTTTTAAAATGCTTTTCAATGAAAATCAGGAGCACTTTATCATTTCATGATCAAAAGATTTCCCTTCAAATAAAATTTAATGCTTAATATTTGATAAAGTTTCAAACTTTCCTTCCCATTTCCATTGTTATAACTTTAAAGATACTCTACAGAACTGTTTTGCCACATTCTTGAGAATGTTCCACAGTGACATTAAACATAACTTATGCAGATGCTTTATTGCTCCAAAATGCCTAGAAAACATAACGTGAGGGTCTAACCTGTATTTGTTTACATACCGGCTTGTCAAAGCCTGATCCTGTCAGGTCTCAGAAGCTAAGCAAACCTGGGCCTGGTCAGTACTTGGATGTGAGACCGCTGGGAAAATCAGGTGCCACGGGGGGGCGCCAGTCACCAAACTGTTATTGTGTCCTTGGGCAAGGCACTTCGCCTACATTGCCTAGTATGAAAGTGGTGTGTGTGTGAGTGTTGATGGTGGTCGGAGGGTCCGATGATGCAGATTGGTAGCTTCGCTTAAGCTTATTGTAGCTGTGGCTGAAATAGTAGCTTGCCACCGGGTATGGAGTGAATGAATAATGAACTGTAAATCGTCTTTGTGACATATGTCTGTGAAAAACGCTATATAAATAAAAACTTACTTAATTTGGTCTGGTGGTGTCACCCGTATTTAGAGGTAGATGTGTTTAATGCCATACTGTGGAACATAGTGCACCTTGTGTTACATTTTATCTAGAGCCCGACCGATATATCGGTTGGCCGATATTATCGGCCAATATGGGCACCTGGAGACATATCGGCTATCGGCCGATATGCTCGCTGATATGGGCCGATATTTCACGTGGGCATGTTATACCTTGTTATAAAGCTTAGACTCTCTACATTATGTTCATTTAATCCAATTTACAGACAGATAAATGTCCTCATATGTGGCTCCGCATCAGTATTTATCTGCGGTGTAATTTGTCTGTGTGTGTCTGTACTGTCCCTGAACACACCCCCAGAGTGACGTCACTTCACTCGCGTGTGTTTGTTTACACCCGCAGCGGTGCGCAACACTGAGATTATATTCTTTTTACGGACAATCGGTTTGAGTCTGGATTAAAAGGACATTTATTAGTGCAGACTTGTGATGTGAGAGGTGAGTGTTAGAAATACATCGACTTTGAAGCTAGTTTAGGTTTTGTTAGCGATTAGCTGCTGTAGCTCCTGCACATAAACAGGCTGTTTTCTATTGGTCTATTGTAAAGTGACTATATTGGCCGTATATTTGTTACTGAACCTGCATTGATATGTAAATGAGCTGTGAATAGACGTGTGAATGATCCACATTTATGCATATAATTAATTACCGCTGTGCGCACGGCTAAAGGCTAATAGCGGTAGTTGATTTACTAGCTAGTAGTGATGGGTCGGTCGCAATCGAAGCGGCTCTTAGAGCGAACAACCGGAGCATGTTTCTCATTGGGAGCCGTGTTTTCTCTTTTTCTCACTTTTTCTCTTCAAGCCGCATGTAGACCCGTAGTTTGACAGCAGCAGCGGCTGAAAACGAAACTTTCAGAAATCTGCGTGTGCATAGGATAAAAAAAATAAAAGTGCATATTTGGCTGCAGTTCAGCATAAAATGAATAAACCAGGACTAATCTTGGGCTCGAGTGAAGGAGAGAGATAGAAACCGAGTCCCGACACTCAGACCTGGTTAAGTTCTGGTTTAGTCCTGTTTCACACATGGTTTAAATCTATTTTAGTCCTGGTTTAGTCCTTTTTCAGTCCTGGTTCAGTTCTGGTTTAGTCCTGCTTGCAACAAAACAATCCCAAGAGTCGCTTGGGAGCCGAAAGAGCCAGCTGCTTTAGTGAGGCGAGCCAAAAGAGCCGGTTTTCAAAAAAAAAAACTGGAATACCCATCACTAGTAGCTAGAATGTGATGCAAAAATGCCATTAGGCCAATCTACTGTATGTAAATATGATGTAAAGAGTCAGAACAACAATAAATGTTGCCTAAATAAACCCAATTTAGAATCCACTAGAGCCAAACCTAAGTTTTTTAAACAATTCAAGATTTACAGTGAATTTTTTCATCACTAAATATATCGGCAAATATATCGGCTATCGGCAGCTCCAACTCCCATTATATCCATTTCATATCGGCCACAACAAAATCCATATCGGTCGGGCTCTAATTTTATCACATGCCTATTTTGAAGAAAACATTGTACTACATTGTTGTTCCAGGTGTGGTGCAGGGGATGATCACGGGGATCCGAGGCCTGTGTAATGGTTTGGGTCCCGCTCTGTACGGTTTTGTGTTTTACCTTTTCCATGTGGAGCTCACAGACACCGACGGCTCAGAGAAAGGTGCCAAACCCAACATGGCCAACCCCACTGACGAGGTGAGGCTTTGCAGTATGCCAGAGTGGATTTTGCATGAATCACAAAAGCAAAGGAGTCCAGTAATGACCTTATTAATGCATACTATAGAAACTAATATGAACATGAAGTATTTAAGTACCCCATTACTACTTACTTATTTTGAATTACTACTGCGATATCTTGTGTTTATATTCTCACAATGCTTTTACAATGAAAGAGTAGATCCAGAAACTTCTATTTAAATAATACCCTGTGTGTAATTGCAGAGTGCCATCATCCCGGGCCCTCCGTTCCTGTTTGGGGCCTGCTCTGTGCTGCTCTCCCTCCTGGTAGCGCTGTTCATCCCGGAGCACACTGGACCAGGCATGAGACCCGGCGCCTACAAGAAGCACAGCAACGGAGCCCAGAGCCACTCCCACAGCCCTCAGGGGAGCGGCGCAGAGGGCAAAGAACCACTGCTCGAGGACAGTAGTGTATAACCCCAACCACAGGGGGCGCTCTACTCAATGCCTCACCCCTGCAGAAACAAGGCCGCGCACAGACTCTAGTGAGGAGGGGGGCTGCCTGTTTAGAAGCAGGGTGAAGACTATGATGCTTGAAATCGCGAGTTTTGGGCCGCGAAGAAAAGACTGAGCCGGACTCTGATAGTTATTTAAGAGTGGAGCGTTTATGCCCCCTACTGGTGCGAAAAGGGACTGCAGCAGTTTGTGTGAGTGGGGTAAAGCAGTTGTTACTAAATCCCAGTGTATTTCTTCATAATCTTCTGTGGCGCCTGTGTCTAGTCATTGGGAGTGTAACAATTTGACAATATCTCAACTCGAGTTCATTGCGATACGGAAAACCAATGAGAGAAACCAGTTCAGGGCCAGGTCTGGATCTGGACCACATTTTCTATAAATACAACACTTCTTTGTCTGAGGTGTGCTGACGAGACCACTTTAATAGACAGTTTTTCAATGTTTACTTGCCATTCTCTAGATTAGTACAGTTGGGTTGTATTATATTTCTGTCCAAAACCGAAGGCTTGTTGTGATTCAAGTTTTTATTCGAGATACAATTGTTGCCTTGAAGTGACTTAAACATTAATTTGACATGACCTGTATGAAGACTGAGGTCTGACGGCTCTGTATTTAAGCTATTGCTCCAATGAGAGCTGTTACAAACGTATGCCTTTTGTTTCATACCCCACATATCTGTTTATTTAGGCTTAAAGAATACAGTTTATTTGGAAAAACTCACTATTTTGAGCTAATCCGCTGCTACTAGCGGATCAGTTTCATTTTAACGCACAGTTTTTTCCTGAAAATTGCACTTGCTGCCATAGTACAGTAAATATAATGCTATTTCTATTCTATCATGGTTTAAAACTAATCATTTGTTCTTGAATCTACCTATCAACAAACTATACAGACAGAGTTGATATCACTTGGTGCAGTTCAGCAGTCTCTCCAGAAGGGGGAGACCTAACATTAATACAAGTCTACAAGTCCCTCCACTTGCCCTGAATGTGACCTAAAGTAGCACTTCAAACTTGCATAATATTATAAAAAGCAACACCCAAATCTTTATCAATATTTACTAAACGTGTAGCCAAAACTACAGTTAAGACAATGTACCTTATCCTTATGAATCATCTTATTGCCCAACCAACTCCCTGCCCTTTCAAATAGCTTGTAAAAGTATGTTTTGAATTGACATACCTTTATTATTGCTCAATGTGTTCACACAGTTGGTGCAGGTGCAAGTGGAGGCAGGATATTATGATCTTTTACATTTGGTTTGTCATAATGTAGAATTTCCAAAATGCCTCAAGTGCATTTACCGCAAGTACAACCCAACTAAGAAAAACGACTCAAAAAATCAATTTATTTTGGTGCCAAACTTTTCGTTTCAGTTTGTTTTTGTACTGTGTTTGTATGTGTGTTTATGAGTGACATTTTCTCTCTCGTCTTACTTTCTTTGGCTACTTTTTTATAGCTTTTAATTTAATTTACGGTCATTTAAAATCTTTGTGACTAGACGGTTAATAATTCCAATGTCTATTCTCCACATTGATTTAATAAGCATTTCATTATTGCAGATTATAAACTCAATTGGCGCAAATGAGTTGCAAAATGTACCAAATATCGTATGTTTTTGCTCTTAATCCCAATCCCTGAAACATGCCATTATCATCATTATTATTATTATTTATATGGGGGGGCACAAGCAAATTTGCAAATAATTTCTTAAGCTAATTTTTGTTTCTTTTTTACCATTGCAACTTAAACAATGTACAAAACCATCTATACTTGCAAATGTATATAATTTATGCTCCCAATGGCCAGTTCTGTGTCAGTTTAAATGGGACAGATATCTATATTTCTGAGGACTCTACCTGCTCTGGCCACTCCTGTTTTTAGTACGTGGTGGTGTGTGGCCTGGACCCCCTCTGTGTGCCTAAAATTAGCCAAGAAACGACAAATGGCAACAAAAGTGGTGGTTATTATTATGTACATATGGGAAACTAATGACTATTTATTAAAGGTTTATTGTACAATGAAACTGCTGTCTTTGCTGCTTATTTGTATTATTTAATAGGGGTGTAATGATATCCAAGTCTCAAGATACGTATGAACTTCACGGTTACGATATTTTTGCGATATTGTGGGAAAGCTCATGATTCGGGATGTAACAATATTCAGTATTTTAACAATATACATCTCACGGTACAATATTTATTGCAATATTTTGTGGAGGCTAATATGCTCCTTTTTCCTCTTAAACTGCTTTAACAAGACTTAATCCAAAGAACTAAAACTAAAGTGCTTAGAACTGTTATTTCTTGTAGTCTATGCTGAAATGGAGCAAAGGATCATGGCCTATGTAGCCTTGTAGTCTTTTTTAACGATTGCTGCACCATATTTCTTAATTTAAGCAAAGAGACTTGTAATTCGATACATTGTGATGGCCCACAAACTTTGACGATACGATATCACGATATTGCGGTTATTGTTACATCCCTATTACTTAAGAATCGATTAATTAAAAGTGCAGTAGTCACCGTGCCACCGAGCCTAGTTACAGGTCAGATCGAGATGTGAAAAAGGAGAAATAAAATACAATACCCTGGAACATTAAATGACCATATTACAGCGTTTTTCAATTTATGGTCAAATGTTTCCTCATCTAAAACATGTGCCTGGAGTTGTGTTTTGCTTCATTCACACATGTTTAACACACAAACCTGCATATTTAGACTGAGATCTCACAAATTTTGTTTCATTTTTATTATAGAGAAAGAGCTCCACTGCGTTTTTGAACTTCATGCACCTTGACTATAGAACTTAAACTACCTCTTTATGAAATCACAAGGTGGAAGAGATCATTTTGAGCTTTGGAGATGCAGACTGACTAAGAAAGCAGGATTATTCAAATGTGTGACTGAAACAAAACAACTCTAGGTATGTTTTTGATGAAGTAATGACATCTAACATGGTTTAAAGTTTGCAAGAGTCCCACTGTGGTCACATTGTCACCAGACCTAGTTACAGGTCAGATCTATGAAGATATGAAAAAGAATAATGCAATACTGTGGAACATACACCATATTCGAGAAAAAAAAGGGTATCTTATGCTATACCTTGATCTTGAGTTGCATGTTTTTCTTTCTTCCCTCACCCCAAAGGATACACTGTAGATAGGCTGACCAGATTTTCAAAATCAGAAACTGGGACACCCTCGGGTTGCTCGCTGTTGGTAATAATAAAATTGTGATTAGAGAGCGTAATTAAAGAAAATTGTTATGCACTTGGCCTGTTCATGACTTATTCACGATAACATGAGTCAGTATAGTTATATTTTCTTTGTGTTCTCCGTAATTTTACCTAAAAAAATAACCTAAAACCTAGACAATTTATGACTCTCTTTGCTGTTGGCAGGGATCATATTGGTCAAAAATAGGGACACTAGGGACATTTCTTGTATAAAACTGGGACAAATCACTGGTTTTGTTTGAATCTGTTGGGACAGGTGACACAGGACTCAAAACTGGGACTGTCTCGGGTAAATAGGAACATCTGGTCACCCTAACTGTTAGTAAAAATTGCTAAAGATCTTCAGGCGGGTCCCCTGACAGGTTGCCCTTGCAAAATTGAAGGTTGGGTCAAATGCAGAGACTGAAATTGCCTCAGAAGGGATTCATAAAGTCCACCTTAATCTCAAATTGTGTCATGGCTGGGAGCGTAGTGCGTGGCAGTAACGTTTCGTGCAACTACGCCATCTGGTCATACCGTGTAATCCTTTTAACTTAACCTCTCCATAGGATCATGTATTCATGTTGAATTCCAATAAGAGCCTTTTAAACCAGGACTAGACTGTAATATTCCAACACAAATTAAACATTTACCTAACCATAATGTTATTTCCTCATTACAAGCATACCTGGAGTTGTGTTCTGTTTCATTCTCACATGTTTAACACACAAACCTGCATATTTAGAGGCTATTTAAAGTTCTTCTCTCAAATATAAAACACTATTCCACCTAAATACAGGAAGAACTTCACTGTGTTTTTAAACTTCCTTCACCTTCACTACAGTCGCAATTTGATTTTTTTTTTTTTTTTTTAACTAAATTACAGGTAAAGGGGCTGTTAAAAGAGTGTTTTGAACTTTGGATATGTAGACAGAGTAATAATAAAGGATTATTCAAACATGTGAATGAAACAAAACACATCTCCAGGTCTGTTTTTGAGGAAGTAACAATGTTTACAAGAGTCAACCAAGTGTTTAACTACTGTCGATTATAAAGTCATGTAGGTGCAAAAGGCTGCGTAACATTTCTTGTGGAGTGTCTGGCACCCATGTTTCTCCATGGGACGTCATTGCTTGAAATGTTACACAGTATGGCACTGCACATCTCTGTCTGATTACAATAATGCAGGTTGGTTGGCAAATGGAGCAACAGATGTATTGAGCTCTTTAGTGGGATAGAGCAGATCATATTAAGACTCTTACCTATAATCCAGGTCCATTATTTTCCATGGGGCACTGGTTACATTATAATCATAAACACAATGGGGGTTAATCACTCACTGTCTGCAACTGAAGACGTAAGTAGAGAAAAGAAAATACAGTATAGATAATTGTTTTGAGAAACAGGCACTAGCCATCCATACTATGATAAGAAGTAGAAGTGGCCATATTATAAGTCAGATCTGTGGAGAGGTGCGTCTGTTTTCAGCCAGAATGCACTTTTAACAATGACACCTTTCATTTGTTAATTTGTAATTTTGTTTTGTTGCTAGTGGAACCTTCCTGGTAAGCAACAAGCATGTGACAGATTCCCCACTAGAAGGGTTACATAGTTTTTTATCTCATATTTGTAAAGACAGAAGATTATTTGTGTGGCATCAAAATAGTTAGAAATGAGATACAATTGGACAGAGATCCTATTTCTAGGCTCAAAACAGTCGTAAACATGACAGTGCATATTCATTTTGCACTTTTCTTTCTCATTTAATGTCTCTCTCTTTTTAATTTTATGATGATTGTGTTTTCATTCAATTGTATTGTGGTTATAAATTATTTCTTATTCTGTATGTAAAGCACTTTGAATTACTTTGTGTACGAATTGTGCTATACAAATAAACGTGCCTTCCCTATGTCTAATACAGAAAAGGTGTAAAAAGAAGAAATAATTCAAACTTGTATCAACATTTTTATTTTTTTTTTTGTACTTCATCATGGGGGACTTCATGTTTGTGCCCATAAGTGAGGCAAGTCTCCATAAACCCATTAAAGGTGCATTGTGTAACTTTTCTGGTGGAGAGTCTGTCAGATACTTTTCTCCTTAGAGACATTATTGCTCAGCCTGAAATGTTTCACAGTGTGGTATTAAACCTTTCTATCTTCATGGAGACCCAGCTAGATGAAGTTACAAGTCAGATCTGTGGAGAGGCATCCATGCTCATATTCAAAATGCAAGGGTATTTTTGAGCTATAAAACCATGTGTAATTGAATAAATGTGTACAGAATCCCTCAGCCGTCCATAGAATCCATGGCAAAGGAGAAATTCTGTTTATCAAGTGGACAAACGTTTCTTTAAGCGAAAAATGTTTCACAGCTCATCCAAGCTGCTTCTTCATTTCTGGTCAGACGCTGGTGGACACTTCCTTCTATCTGCCTGAAGAGAGGAGCTAACTACAGTGAAACTACTCTGAAACTAACACCCTATTTGTTTGTTAGTGAGGTCTATTCATCTGTACTGAGAGTGTAGTAAAAAGAAAAAACCTACCAAACATCTGATTCTGTTAGTAAGTGTGTTTACCAATAGAAGTGTTGATGGTGGTCTCAGCTTTTACAGTATATATCTGAATTTGTTCAGGCCCATAATGGGTGCTTTCACACCTCTGGACCTGACCTGACTATCCCTATTGTTTTCTTTGTTTTGATTTAGGTCTGAGGATGGAGTTCAAAGTACAATGGCAGCATTTAAAAAAACATAAAATTGAGTGCAATGTTGTTGTGCATAATAGTGATAAGATTTCTGTTTGCAATTGATTAATAATTGTGCCCGAACTGAAATGTAGTGTTTTGAAATGTTTTAAAGTAACCATCGGTGTTGATGTGTTGTCTTGAAAAGGGAAAAGGGAGCAGATCACATAAGACTCTTCTTTCTGCTCCTTTTCACTCATTTCTTGTATGTTTGATGTTGTGACACTGTTAATGTCTTTTTGTACTTTATGAATGAACTTTATGAACTGCAGAGAATTTTCAGGATTACCTTGTAATCCTTTTAACTTAACCTCTCCACAGGGTCATGTATTCAGGTTGAATTCCAATAAGAGCCTTTTAAACCAGGACTGGGCTGTAATATTTCAACACAAATTAAACATTTACCTAACCATAATGTTACTTCCTCATCCCAAACATACCTGGAGTTGTGTTTTGTTTCATTCGTGCATTTTAAACACACAAATCATGCATATTTAGAGGCTATTTAGAGTTCTTCTCTCAAATGTAAAACACTCTTTTCCACCTAAATACAGGAAGTACTTCACTGTCTTTTTAAACTTCCTTCACCTTCGCTACAGTCGCATGACATCACAAGGTGGAACAGAGTATTTTGAGCTTTGGAGATGTAGACAGAGTAATACTAAAGGGTTATTCAAATATGTGAATGAAACAAAACACAACTGAATTGATGTTGTGACACTGTTAATGTCTTTTTATACTTTATGAATGAAATAAATAAATAAATAATAATAAGAAGAAGAATGGAGTTGTAGATGGGAGACGATGATGTTTCTGTTCAAGGATCGATTCTCTTTAACAAAACAAAAATAGTCTTTAACTCCTCTGTCAAACCAAATATTTTCTCTGGCTAAGATCTGTACCTCACTATTCTCAAAGGAGCGGCCCGTGAGGATTCAGTGGAGATGTACAGCCGACTGAGGTCCTGTGTTGCGCTCTCGTCTGTGCTGGTATGTTCTCTTGTAAAGTGGGTGTTTTGTTTCTCCAATGTCACTGCGCTTAATGGAGTAGACCACATTGCTTTGTTTG